AAATCCAGGAACTTTCAAAAAGGGCATCAATGATTGATGTTGCCAAGATTCAAAATGAGGAAACCAGTGACAGGATTAAGGAGCTCGAGGCCGCATGCGACGACTTGCGACGAAGGCTTTCCGAAGAGCGCCAGACAAGAGAGAACCTCGAAGACCTCCTCGACGCCGTCAAGGGCGAGCTGGAAAACGCGTCGAACGAGCGAGACAACCTACGCGACGAAATTGTCCCTCAGCTCCGCGCACGTGTTGAAGGCTTGGAGTCGGAAGTTGCAGAAAATGAGAAGCTCGCTTATGATGCGACCAGACTACAGCAAGAGGTCCAATCTCTCAAGATGGAAAACGAAGAGCTTGGTAAAATCCAGGAGGAGGTCGATCTCTTGAAGGCTGAGAATGCCGAGCTTGGCAAATACCGCGAGGAGTACGAACACCTTTCGTCTGAACACGCAGAATGCAGCAAGCTCGGAAACACGGAGGTCGCCAGGCTGCAAGATGAGTTTGAGCAGTTCCGGGCTGAACACACAGGATGCGATAGGCTGCAAGAGGAACTCCAAGCACTGAGGTCAGGAAACTCGGATGTTGAAAGGTTGCAGGAAGAGCTTCACGCCATCAAGCTCGAGCATAGCGAGTGCAGCAAGTTGCACGAGGAGGTTCAACTGCTCAAGTCTGCAAACGCCCAGCTTAGCAGCCAGCAGAACGAACTTCAGTCGCTAAGGACTGAAAGCGCGGAGATTGATGACCTGCAACAAGAACTCGAGGCGCTCCGTTTTGAGAACACGGAGCTGCGCAAGTTGGAGCAGGAACTCCGCACCCTGAAATCGGAGAACAATGAACTTAAACAAACGGGAACCCGTATGTCAATGGCCCTTTCACGTTCGACATCCGTTGCAGGCACAAATAGCGCGTCTATTAAGAGAGGCGGCCGCCCCATGTCCCTTGCCCGGTCAAACACTACAAAGCATCATGCGGCACCTGAGCCCCGTGAGAACCTGGCGGACAGGTTGAAGGACGTTGAGGCACAGCGTGACGCATTGCACAATGCTCTGCGCAGTCTCCTTGAAAGACAGGAGTTCCAGAATCGCGAGAACGCCAAGAGAATCAAGCTTCTCGAGCAGGAGCGTGACCGCCTTCTCTCGTCTTCTCCTCGGGGTGGATACGAGAAGGAGGTGGCCCACCTTCGCGACGAGATCGCCGTTCTGCGCCGCCGGGCAGAGGAAGCCATTGACCAGAAGTGGGAGGTCGAGAAGGGTCTTGGTGGCCTCAAGATGAACCTCGACCGTGCCGAGCAGGAAATCACCTCCCTGCGTAGTCTTCTCAGGGAGAAGGACATTCTCATTCCTGAGGGCTTTGCTCGCAGTAGCTACATGTCCAATTACAGCAACGAAGATGCCCTCGTCCCTGTGTCTTCGGCGTCCTTGGAGAAGGCTTACGCAGACTTGCAAGCCACCTACAGTGAAGCTCTCGTCCGCATCAAGGACCTCGAGGACAGCACTGCCTCCAACGAGGCAATGCAGCTCGCCATTGCTCGCCTTGAGCACTCTCTCTCAACTGCTGTGACGGAGCGTGATATGGCTCGCGAGGATTACGTTGCCCAGCAAAACGAGCTCGAATCCCTCCGGGAGTCTGAGAAGCAACACATCGACGCTGAACTCACTCTAGCTGATCAACTCTCTGATTCGGCCCGCCGCGTCGAGGAACTTGCTCAACAGGTGCGTGCTCAGCTCGCCATCAATGCTACACTCCGCGCGAGGCTGGCCGATACCGTCGCTCGTGGTGAGGCCAACCAGCGCGTCAGCACGGAGCGCATTGCCAGTCTCCAGAAGCGTCTAAGAGAGCTTGAGGAACAGGTAATCACCGCGCAAACCAACGCTGAAGAGCGCGTGAACCGCCACGAGGAAGAGCTCCAGACGCTTAAGGAGAGTCATAACATCCACCTCCTGCGTCTGCGCGATGGGCCCGCGGGCTCGGCGGCCGCCATGCGTGGTCTTCCCCCGCGGTCGTTCCCGCCCAAGTCCCCCCTCAGCCCAATGTTCAGCATGAGCCTGGCGAGCAAGAGCGACGCCACTCCCCGTACCACTCGCATGTCGAGCCCTTTTTTACTTTCATCATCTTCTTCCTTCTATTCTAGTTCGCATGCCTCGTCCTACCTCCAACCACGGGTTTCGGGAGTCCTTTCGTCGGCTGCCTCCGAGGGTAATATGGCTGGAGATGTAACCACCCTCAAGGCCCGCGTTGCCCAGCTCGAAGGCGCCCTGATGGCTGCCGACTCAGAAATGCAGGAAGTCGTCAGCCGCATGAACATGGCCCAGATTGAGGTCATGACTCTCCAGGAGGAGCGCGAGGAGGCGGTCCGTCAGACCCGCAAGCTGCAAAAGATGATGGAGGAGGAGAGGGTCAAGGTTTTCGAAGAGCGATTCAGAAACTTTGCGGGCGCTACGGAGGTCAGGGCTTAGGAGACTGAACTTGTTTGTGATGATGAGAAAGGAACAACAGAAACAGCAGCAGTAAGGCAGAAGATCAAGAGGTATAAAGGTGACCATGGCTATGACTATAGAAAGCTGAGAGAAGGATGGGAGAGGGGGATACAGATGGGGTTGGGTAGGGTGGTGTTTTGAACATATCCGCTTTTTGGAGGTTGGAGATACAAGAGCATTACTTCTGGATTCTTCTGTTTGCATAGCATTTTTGGGGGCACATATTTCCCTTTCTTCGTCCCATCAAGGGACATTATACCATTTTTATCTTATTCTTCGACTTATATACTATGTAGGGTTATATTGGGGGAGGGCGCGCACCCCTCAAAGGATGGGAGATGGAGAGGAGAGATCAAGTGCGCACAGCATTGTATAACATACCAACGCAGGTTTGGACAAACTGCCAAATGTACTACTGGACCTGTATGCATATATTATACCTACCTCTTAGTTACAAGTATCAGAGATAGAATAGTTCTTGTGGATAGGTTGGCGGTGGTGTAATGTTATGTTACCGTTTGATAACAAGAATATGGATACTGTCTGTCTATAATTGATTCATTCTACATGTTCATTGTGACTTGTTCGTCGTATTCACAAGAGTGCTCAATGCGGTGCCCGACGGATTGACAATGACTTTCCATCAAACTCTACTCCGTCCATCACCATTATTGATTCTGAGGTGCATTTCATATGGATGGTAACAAATAGCGTTCACCTTGACAAACTACTCTACCAACTACCACCACCAAAACACTGTTTTCTGTTGAAATTTGCAAATGTGTCTTCCTGACATTGAGATTTCATGCACATGCAAAAAAAAAAAAAAGAAGAAAAAAAAAGAAGAAAAAAAAAGGGAAAAAAAAGGAAGGAAAACGACAGAGACAAGACAAGACAAGAAAAGAGCAAAAAAAAAGAAAAAAAAGCACGAACGCACGGAGACCACCAACATGAAAAGAAAAAGGTGGAAAAAAGATGGGATTGCCAGGAATCGAACCTGGGTCCTCTCGGATCCGTTGTATGTCGAATTTGACCACAACGAGAAGTACTGACCACTATACTACAATCCCTGTTATTGTTGAAGATCAGATTGCAAACTTGTGCTTATATTGTATTACGTTAATTCTTTACTGCTTTACACTCATTCCCACTTCGTAATCACTTCGTCCTTCCCCCGCGCATTTCGCATGACATTCAAGTTCTGCTGATCTTTCATGTTTCATCTTGTTCGTAGTAAGTAAACTCGTGGATTAGAATTTCAGATCTTACTAGTTTAGTGCGGATAAGTTTATTTTAGTTCACCCAAGAGGAGCGAGTGTTCCCTCCGATGTCAATTATGGTCAACGATCAACAAGTCGGAATGACAGATACATCCACCTTTCGCTATTATCAATTTCTCCACGTACCCATTCGTATATGGTAGTCTCAGATATTAAAGCGATGAGAAGCCTTGCAGTAACAACTTCTTATACTAATGAGATGCCCCGCATTGTTCAAATCTCATCTAATTCAGTTCAGCGAACCGAACACAGCAAACAGTACACAGTACACACTTGCACCTTTTGCTATTGTAAACATCACAAGCCAGATAGCCATGTCCGTCATCGTGCACTTCCATGGTTTGTTCCCTATAACAGAATCGGTACCTGCTTACCTCTAGGCACATTTACATTGAGAATCTTAGATCAAAAAGAAGGCCGAGGAGCCCATTCGGTCGCCTTTTCATCTAATTGTCCTGGTTCCGAGGTAGGTAAAAAAAATTAAAAAATATTTAATTAAAATTTAAAGGGACCTAATAAACGAATACCGTTAATCATAAGTACAGCACACAACACACTCGTTATATCGCCAAGCAATGTTAGCCAGACAGACAAACATCCAAACGCCCTTCAGAAATCATCTCTAATTTTTTTAAATTTTTTTTTCAATTCATCGGTCCCCATTGCACTTACAAGCATGGGTCCTCAGGTCATGCGATACCGTACTTATTTTTGTCATCATATGAAACGTTGGATGTTGTCTGTCTTTCTGACTGTCTGACGAAGAAACAAACTTACTTGGGTCGTAATGGGGGGGTTTTTCGTTGTCGACGCTTCATATGGCTACACCATGAGCTGCGGTTGCTGTTGAGAAGAGGGCATGGAAAGAGTGGTTATATGGGTGATGTACGTGTCTCGCGGAATGGGAAGTAGCGGTTGTGGTAGGGGGCGTGGAGGGGGGACGTCAAAGGAGGAAGGAGGTAGGGACACGGGTTGGGTGATAAGACAGAGAAAGGATCGACGATGCTGGCAAGGAGTGACCAGGCAGGGAGGAACTTCATGATTGCGGCGAGGGTTTTCAAGCGGATTTGAGTTGAGCGGAAATTCAGATATGATGGTGATTAACATTATCAATATGGATCGTTACAAATGAATTATGTCCAGTTGGAGATGTCCAAAGACCAGGCAGGTGTGGTTCCCTTTCCACAACCAAAAAGCTTCCCGGTTTCGAAACGCCGGGTTCCCTTCATTTTCTCTTCTTCAGAAACAATTACCCATAAAATGCAGGCTGTCCACTGCCAAACACAATTGCCGAATCCTTCGTATCCTCTCTCGGGAACGCCCTCGCGCCAGCTGCTGAAGCAATCATCGGACTCGCACTTCTCCCAACCTGCTGCTGCTGCTGCTGCTGTCTCAGCTGCGCATTGGAGAACATGCTCCCCGTCTCACCCACGCCATCCATAGTGCTTCCCGCTCCTCCATCAATACCCACCTCCCTCGTCAGTTCGACATAGTCATAGGCAAACTCGCCGATCTCGGAGTCATCAATGCCCAGCACCTCTGCTGCCTCCGACACCCTTAGGCTCAGACCCGGGATGAGGTCCAATACCACCACTATCAGAGCCGTCATGATGAAGGAGTAGACTCCGCCGGCAAAAGAGCCTGCTAGTTGGAAAAGTAGCTGCTTCCAGTTGTGGTCGAGCCAACCGCCGTGAATGTTCGTGGTGCCGTCAAGGTGAGCGATAGCTTTGGACCCGAAAATGCCGGTGAGGATGTTGCCGACGAGGCCTGCAACAGCGTGGACGGCGAAGGTGTCGAGGGCGTCGTCGATGTTACAGAGGAATTTGATCTTGGTGCCGTAGTTAGCTGACCCGGCTCCAAGAATGCCGAACGGGACGGCGGCCCAGATAGGAACGAGTCCTGCGTCGTTACTTGTTAGTAAACATAGTTCTTCTCTCAAAAAGTGAACAAGAAAAGAAAAGAAAGGGACTCACCACTCCCCGGCGTAATAGCAATCAACCCAGCCACCACCCCTGAGCAAAACCCGACAGCCGACCACTTCCTCTCTAGTTTCCAATCTAGCATGCACCACGTGATTCCTCCCACACAAGCTGCCAGGTTCGTCGTCGCTACTGATACCACGGCCTTCAAATTCGGCGCCAGTGCGGCCCCCGCGTTGAAACCGAACCATCCAACCCACAGAAAAACAGTCCCGATGACGACACTGGCCACATTATGCGGCCTATAATTCAGCTCGTGCGTGCCATGTCCCTTTCTCTTGCCCAGTACCATCGAGTACGCCAGCGATGCGCACCCACCCACGACATGTACGGGCGTGCCGCCCGCCCAATCCAGAACGCCCATTTCATAAGCCCAGCCGCCATTCGCATGGGGGTTCCAGGTCCAGCACGCGACGGGATCATAAACGAGAGTGGCCCAGACGAACATGAACACTACGCAGGGGAGCAATCTTCCTCTCTCGGCCGCGGCGCCAGCGGCTAGCACGACGGCGATGGCGCTGAACAAGCCCTGGTAGACAGCGAACAGCAAAACGGGGATCTTGTGAGCACTGTTCTCGTCGAAGGGCTGCTCTAGAACACCAATAAAAAACGCGTTGGATAGGGTGCCTATAAAACCGGAGGATACAACATCGCGAGAGAAGGAGAGGGAAAACCCCCAGATGAACCACTGTATTATGGTGACGGCGCATGCGAGGATGGATATGAAGATTAATGACAAAGCGGATTTGCGTCGTGAGAGACCGGAGTAGAAGAAGCCGACGCCGGGGACCATGAGTAGGACCAGGGCGATGGAGATGACGAGGAAGGCGATGTCGCCATCGTGGTAGCCGGTTTCTGGGTTAAATTTGCTAGGGGAGGAGGTAGACGGTAATGAGTGTGTGGCGGCGGACGATGAAGCTGTCGCCGTCCGGGTTGTTGATATTGATGTTGATGTGCTGTTGGCCATGGCTGGCAAAAGATTCAACAGTCGTGTGATGGACCATGTCAATCAGTCAAGTTTCGGGTTACGTCCGGAAGAAAAAAAAAAGAGCAGAAGGGGATCAATCACTAGATAGATGGTAGTGATCACTTTTTCAAACATCTGTGTTTAACCAGCAAACAACTTGAATCAAACCCCGGGTCAGCCTGAAAAGAAAAAGGCATCATAAAACCAAAGGGATACCAGGGACGCCAGGCAACACCAAATCAAGTCTGTATGACACGACATGAAAGAGGGAACTTGCCCTTCCTATTTTCTAATCAAAGAAATATGCCTGGACTGGACTGACAGAGAGACAAAGATGTGTCCATTTGAACGCAGAAAATTTGAAGACGGTATGTAAGTCGGATCGATGTAAACACGGGAATGCAACAGCCCTCCTTGCACAAGGGGCCACAAAAACTCAAAGAATCTTACGAGAAAGAAAGAAAAGGGAGTGGTAAGTCCCAAACGGTTCAGTCCATGGGAACAAGGAAGTTATTATACATGCCGAACACGTACTGCAGTGTATGTTATTCCGTGTTTGCTTTCTTCTATCCCTCGCATGATGAAGACCCTGGCTCGTGGTTTGGGTGCCGATTTAAGGTTTTGTGTATCATTTGGAATTTGAGATCCTGGGTAACTCTCTTTTGGACGGGCCGTTATAGATGGACGGGATGTGTGCTACGTTGCCTTGACGTTTTTGTTTCGATTTGGAGGCGCGTTAGATTGAGCGATGTCGAAGTGCGTGATGGATGATGTTTAGTGTTAAGAGTAAGAAAAACTTTGCACAGACTTGGCAAGTGCAAATCTTGGTAAGATTGATGCATCCGGTTTCATCGTCGAATTTTGGGATGGCTGGAAATATGCTTGGACTGAGAGAAGGCGAAGTTATTGGCGGGCGGATGTTGGGAAGAAACAACTGAAGGATGAGGATAAGGTAGCAAGACCCCCAGCATGGTGCAATCCTGACCCTGACAGCTCCCGTCGGCCGGAGGCTGTCTTCTTCTTTCCGTTGTCTCTGAGTAATAACTGGAAGGGGCATAGGAAGAAGAATCCCGTTGTGGGTGATAACCTGAATCGATGCTGCTCTGCCAGAATCACTTGATTGTACCTTCCTCAGATGGAGATGAACTTGGCCAAAGTCCCAGGCAGCTTTAATCAATCAATCGCTGTTCATCTCTCTTCCCCCTTAACGCTGCTCGTCACCCACCTTCTCAATCCCAACCACCTTCCCCCCTTCCATATTCACCACCAAATCCCCCACCCTCCCATTCCCCCTCAACAAAGTCTTCCTAACCGCTTCCAACCGATGCATAACCATCAAAACAATATATTTGTTCTCCACCCACTCCTTTCTAATCACTTCCAGCACTTTTCGTTCAGTCTTCTCATCCAATGACGCCGTGATCTCATCCAGCAAGATGATCGGCTGGACGATATTTGGGTGGCGAAATCCTGGAGCGGAAGAACAATATGAGATGGGGTCGGGACCACCGGTCATGTCGCGTCTGTCACCGTATTCTTGATCTGAGGCGGCTTGGGCTGCGACGCGCATGCGTCGGGCTTTGATGATGGCGCGGGCGAGGGAGAGGAGTTGGAGGTGGCCGGTGGAGAGGGCGGGGGGCGGGAGAGGGGAGTATCGAGGACTGGATGGCCAGAAGGGTATGGACAGGAGGTAGTTCTGGTGTTGATGTTGGCAAGGAGAGGGCTGGTTTCGTCGATGACAGGATGCTCTGAGCCTAGGTAACTATTCGAGGAGGACGATGAGAGGTGGGACCATAACCCAAGCATTTGAAGGACTGATATTAGGGCATGGTCAGAAGCAGGCAAGTCGGGTCGAGGTTGAAGCGCAGAGACGCGTCGGGTAAGTGGAATGGATCATGCGTAACTGTGATAAAGGCCGTTTCCCGGATGATGTGCAGAGGAGCTTGACGGATGTCCTGGTTCTCTATGCGGATTGACCCGTCACGGATATCAACGAGACGGAGCATTGCAAGGAGGAGGGAACTCTTCCCGCTTCCTGTCCGTCCGCATATGACAACCAACTGGCCAGCGGCAACTTCGAGGTTGAAATCCTGGAATACCAAGGGGCCATTGCTCGTATTTGATGCAGAGATTCCTTCAAACCGAATGAGTTTGGGATTGTTATGATAAGGGTAAGGCGAGGGCCACCCGGTAAAGGGCCTGTCGATTGAACCAGGTAGGGAAATAGAGGCCAGCTCTTCTGGCGTATCTTTCTCTACGCTCTTCAACCGCGAGATGGCTCCGAGCGAGATTTCCGAATTCGTCCACGACTGAACCAAGCTCAGGAGAGTGGCATTGGCAGCGATGATGACCGAAAGGGCCACGCCAACCTGGCCTCCAGTCACCGTGCCCTTCAAGCTGACCGCGAGAAAAATCGTGCTAATGGCAACACCAGCAATGAGAAGATCGAGAACCACGTTGAGCCACCTTTGAAGACACAGCAAGATGTAAAAAGCGCGCTGGCTTAGGTCAACGACATGGACGTTTTCCAACACGGACTCGGTTTGCCAGCTAAATGCCCGGATTGTCTCAATACCCTGCACGGTTTCCAGAAGAGACGAGTTCACAGCCGCCCGACTCTCCAGCTCGAGGAGTCGAAGCTGGCGTGAAGTGCATAGGTAAACCTTCTGGATCCCGTAGACGATAACGGCACAGATGGGAAGGGTGACGGCCATGATGGGCTGCGCAGCAAGTAGCAGACGCCTGCATAATCATCTTGAACACTTGGGTTGCGAAGGCCATGACGGCGGACTCCAGCGTTTTGTCCACGAGCTGTATGTCTTGGCTGAAGTAGTTCAGGAGAACGCCTGTATCTGCGGTAGAGAAATAGAGGAGGGGTGCGTGCATGATCGTGCGCAAGAGAGTTCGATGAAGAGCTAGCCCGGAGGTTGGGGCAATTCGAAAGACGGTTGATAGCATCGTGCTGTTCGTAGATATCCAAGCCATCAGGTATAGGAGGGCGTAGCCCAGTGCGTAAAAGACCGTGCCTCTCTTGCTAGCAGTATTGAGCTCGTCGTTCTGCATCCACCATTTGACCCAGTACTGGGGGAAGGTAATGAAGAAGGAGTACGATGCCGTGCAAGTCACCATTAGCAGAATGTTCAAGGGCCCGGCATTGAAGAAGTAGTACCCTATAAGGCTATGTTAGCTTCCTTGTGTTTCCTGGTGAGAGTTAGTACTTACAATAGAGTAAAAGATCGTCTTGTGAGCGTCTGAGGTCATGCGGGGACGTTTTCGGTGAGTCTCGAGCCTTATTCTTGTTTATCACGGATGGTTTCGATTCTTCCTTATCGGCTGTATCCATGTCGTCTTGATGGATATAATCGGTGATTTCTTAGCTTTTGTCTCTCAGCTCCCCCCAGGTGCCTCGTTCTATGATACGGCGTTCGAGAATGACAACATGGCCATTCAGATCAACGTTTTTGGCTAGGAGGGAAGTCAGTGGGCATTATCCCATGTTGTGCACATAATGAATGACTTACTGGAACTCGTTATCCAAAACACCGCGGCGTTCAGCTGTCGGAAAACCCCCTTCGGCCCAAGAAGGTTTTGAGCAACTTGATCTCCTGTCTTTCCATCAAGAGCGCTGAACGGATCATCAAGCACCACCATATTACAACGATGAAAGACGGCACGCGCAAGGGCCTGAAGATGTAAAAGTTAGTCATCAGCCACTCACGGTTTTGTTTTGTTCTCCTTGTTCTTACCACACGCTGCCGTTGTCCACCAGACAAGTTCATCCCGTCAGCTCCGGCCACAGTCTGGTCACCATCAGGAAGGACAGCTAGATCTTGGTCGAGACAACATGACCGGATAACAGCACGATACCACTCGTTACCGACATTGTACTTTACCATCGACCCACAAATGACTTGTCTGATGGTCCGATTGGGAAGCCAAGGGACTTGTGCACAATATGCGATGCTCTCGGTACGATGCCTGATTGTGCCCTTTATCAGTGGTACTTTCCCGAGGATTGCTCGTGCCAAGGTTGATTTTCCGGCACCGACTGGCCCCAAACAAGCAACCACTTGGCCTCGTAAGAGCTCGAGGTTGATGTCCTTCAAAGTAGGGCTGCCTTCTGGAGTCCACTGTACGGTCAAGCCCTGGATTGACACCTCGGACCCTTCGGCTAGCTGTGCAGGGCGAGGTGAGTGGCTGATCGCAGGTGCCTTTTGGGACTTGATGTAGTCTTCAATCTTGTCGAAGCTCGCGCAGGCCGCTATCGCTTGTGGTACGATCGTCATGACCATGTTTGCCGAATGCGTCACTAATGCGAGGACGGCAATCGTCGGGAAGGCCGTCTTGATATCGAGAGCAGTCCCGTTTGCCATGGCGATGATGGTGAAGAGGACGATAGTTATGACTGGGGCGAACATGCTCAGGGCATTGGCTAGGGGGTTGTTAGAAATGGATAGGATTTGATTATGGGCTGGATGGATAGTAGATTTATTGGGGACATACCACTAGCATTGTATATCGACATAATCCAGCGAACACGCTTCGCTTTATTTAGCTCTTATTCTCTCAGCCCAAGTATGTGTTTCTCGGCAATATCTTGGAGACCCAGCATTTTGATGGTCTTGATGGAGCTCAGCATCGTGGAAGTCGCGGAAATGCGTCCTTGTGTTGCTGAGTTTCACGTAGCCTGGCTGCTTTTGAGGTTGCGAGCGACATATCTGCTGACTCGAGAGCATACTGTTATTAAGGGGTAAGTGACCAACACTACACAAATTCACACCTTACTCAAGATATGCAGACTCACAGATGATGATAACGTGAGGCACCAGCCATAACCATCCAACTTGCTTGGCCAGCAGGACACTTCCAATGACTACCTCAACCAAGAGGGCCCAAGACTCATGCATCATCCTTGGGGCATCTTCGAGGGCACTCACGTCTGTTGATGCAATGGCTACTGTCTTTCCTTTGCTGTACGGCTCATGACGAGCGAGCAGCGAGTTCTCATGAACCAACCCAAGTAGGGCGCCTCGAATCATGACCTGTAGTCGGTTTAGGCCTGCTGGTATGCTCTCGTTGATAGCTACGAGAAATGTCAGTGTCAGTTAAACAGGTAATTGGACAACCCTTTGACCTACTGCAAGACCAATGTAGACGATGGCGGCAATAAACATCAAGAGATAACCTTTATCCTCATTGGTTTCCGGGGACTGTACATATTTGATGGCGTAACGGATCAATACCGGCTGACCATACTGAAATACGATGACGAAGAGTCGTGGAGCAATGACTCTTAGAAAGGGAGCGCGAAGACATCTCAGCAGTACCAACGCTAATGGAGATGAAGCTAAGAGACTGTTAGCACATCGAAGTCAACCACTAGATCCGCAATCCGAACTAACAGTACCGGGAGAGCGTTCGCAGAATTGACGCTCGAAGAGTCCCAGACTTCAACTTGTGGTCAACACTCGGGAGTCTCTCATTCAGCAGAACCATTCTATAGCCTTGAGGACTGGACCGATCCAAGTGACGAAGGCCCTGCTGAGAGCGCTGGCTCTCTCTTCTAGCGAATCATTGCCGCTCTCTTGGTTCAAAACGCTTTCTTTGCTCAAGCACTCGATGTAGAAACGGTAGTCTCAGCGGCCAAATGCAGCCCGATGATAAGGCGGTCGCCATGATTGTCAACATACCGCAGAGATGGTATTGTGAGCTGTACTGCGTCGCAAAGAGCAGACGTCAAGAGGTAAAGGAGGATAGGGCTTGATGGTTTAACAGATCTTCGGTGCTCTACCTGAGAGAGGATTACAAGTCCTAGTGAAGCGACCGGAAGCAGCGCTACCAGGACTGGACAAATCACTGCTGCTGTCGAGGTACAGAAATACGCAGTGATAAGTTGTTGGACGAAGAACAACGTTGTTATGACCTGATGAAAGTGTCAGTACTCTGCCGCTTTCCAGTCTCAGGCAAGCCATTAGAAAGGGAACATGCCAATTTGAGGTACTGGCGCCAGTTGGACCTGACACTGACTGGTTGCTGTTGGAGTTGATACAACCATCCTGGGAGCAAAACGATAAACAGGGCAGAGATGCCATATCGAACTGACCAAAGCCAGACTTCCAGTTCTTTGGTATCGGTGAGGGTCGCCATCTCATGGCAAGTGACGTTGGGCATTCTCATTAACCGAATAATGGACCAAGATGGCATGACAGAAGATGTAAACGAAAGAGAAGAGTAAGCTCAGCTCACGGGAGTTGCAGGCTTCTCATATCATATTTCAATGTTGACGAGGGGCACGCGGCGCGTCATACTCATCATGATGGACGTGTGTTCTGAGATGCTTACCGTGGTATTCCCCATGATGTTAGTTCTCTGCTCTTATTCATCGCCTTCCACATTTGGAAGTGACCCGATAAGGGCCTTTTGCTGCCTATGTCCCCATGCGCAAGCGGAATTTGAGAAGATGAAAGTCGACATTTAGACTGTTTGTGGTGTTCCAGTATATCCTCCATATCGTCGTGGAGTGAAGTCAACAGTCTGGTCATGATGGATTCGAGCAAACGAGCAATGATGCCTTGTCACCACTTCTGGAATGGAAGAAGGAAGATGTCGTCCGCTCCTGATACCGATAGCATGGTACCTGCAAATGAGCTTGGTCAGCCCAGGCACAGGAGGTAGATCACTAACTCCAATCGTGCTGGCTTGCATGCTCCCTCGTGGTGGTGGTGGTGGTGGGTCACTGTCGTCTCCAGTGGATCAATGTGCTGTGTGCACTTAAAATCCCCGTTGCCCATCATTTTAAGCCGGAGCCAGTGTCGGGGATTGGACGGCCGAGTCCGTACTGACGTCGTTGGAGACATTGGTACGGTGAACTCTTCTCAGGTTATTGAGGGACCTTTCCATTTATAGTTCCCTTGGCTGCCGCATGCGAGGGAATTGAAGCTGAGAACGACAAAAGATCGCGCAGTGAACTGCATCCTTTCCCGACAGCAGATTGAGCGGTCCAAGCCCAAGGTCGGTCTGAGCTGAATTGCGGTAAGGGCCAGTAACGAACAAACGGGGTCAACACCGCTGCGAATAGCTGCAATCGTGGCCGAGGCGATGAGCAGAGGCAGATATGCGAATGGGTCAATTGACCAAATGAATGACGGAGACAGCATGAGGACGGGATGAACGAGTTGCACCCGCCACTTTGGAGTGAAGAACTTGTACTGGTAGTTTGCAGGTTGAGGTTGTTGAGAATGAAAAGGGGAAGTGAAACTTGAAAGGCTGCCTGCGTCGAGAACGCCCGTGAATTCCACTGCATCAAGGCGCACTTGCCCTGTTTTTCAGGCCTACAAGCACCCGCCCGCAGCCAAATTCATCGCAACAAGGAAGGAACAGCGGACAGTGCACCTTCCACTCTTCCACATACAGGCTGCGCTGCTCGCCCGTGGTTCACTCGACCCGACCCGAAAAAAACGAGCAAAGGCCGGGCAAGAGTAGAAAGGGCAGCTGGCCACAGCAAATTGAACCACAACGAACAGTCAACTCAACCAGGGACCAAAATCAATCGTTCAATTCGTGCACTTCGCAACTCTCGACCAGCATCACGGCACATGTCTTTCGCACCATGAAGGGCTTGCTCTCAAATGGCTACGAGCACATCCGTGACCCGCTCGCGACGAGCTGAAGGTCTGCGTCATCCGCATTCGAGCAACACTGTCACCTACCGGTCGCACTCGTCACCGCAGAACCACGCCGCCCACGCCCAACACCCGCTCGCGAACGCGAAGCCCGAACAGTCCCCATCCCCAATCAAGCAGAACACGGCCACCACTACCACCACCACAACCCATCAACGCAACAAGCGATCGCTTGAGCCCACCACTGCCCGAGAATGTGATCCAGTTGCTCCCAAAAAGGCTCGATACGAGTTTGCCGTCGAGATACCCGCCCGGCCGTCATTTCGTCAGTCGACTTCAATTGAGTCGCGCGACGCGAAGGCCCCGACACCAGCCCCTAACCCGAAGCCTGTCGTCACTGTCACTGCGGCACCAAAGCCCCCAAATCCCTCGCGTGCCCCTCCCACCACTGGTGCAAAACCCAGCACAACTGCCACCAAACAACCATCGGGCCTTACAAGACACCAAGAAAAAGTTGTCAATGGCTTGAAGCACGAATTGAGCAGGTTGAACCCCAATGCTGCCGACACCATCAAGGAGGGCGGTCGCAAATTACGATCGCAGGAAGGCACTCGCTTCAAGAGCGAGTTGGCCGCCTACTTTCCCGACTATGATGAGGTAATCGGCAACGATCCCAAGGAACAGCGTAAGTCACAACACAACCCCTACCCCCTATTCTACAACCCTGAACAGCTCGGTTTTGGAAAACCCCGCCATCAGTATGGCTCGCCGAGCAATCACTAACGTCAATTGATTCTCTGAATAGATCTCTTAAATCTTGACACCCCGATTGTCATTGGCAGCACCTATCTCCCTGTGACTCATGAATCTACCCCGGTCGCTCAACCGGGCGGCTTCCAGCCTCGTCCGATCGAATCCTATCCCATCCGAGGCTACGGCGATGCCCTGTTTACCGATCTCTACGATTCCCAGACCATCAACTTCAGCTTCTTGGAAACCCAACACAAGGGCAAAGCAGCCTTGAAGGATGACCCGTTGCCGGATTCGCTCTACGAAACGGCCCACAAAAAAGCAGAACGTTTGGAACGCTCAATACGGAACTCGGAAAAGGGACGAGCTCAACATGAGAAGGACCAAATTGTCCGACTGCTGGATGCCTTGCAGGGCCATGACTGGCTGCGGGTAATGGGCGTCAGTGGAATCACAGAAGGTCGTAAGAAGCAGTTCGAGCCTGCGCGAGAGCACTTCATCAAAGGCTGCCAAGCCATCTTGGAAAAGTTCCGGAAATGGGCGGCCGAAGAGAAGCGCAGAAAACGGAAAAAGGACCGAACAACCAATGCCGACAGCGGCGGAAAGGGCGGCAAGGGCGGCAAGTCTGGCGGCAAGTCTGGCGGAAAGGCCAACGGAAAGGTCAACAAGCCGCAAGGCGGAGGGAAGAACGGAAAGCGTAAGCACGAGGACGCAAAGCATAAAGTTGAACTTAAGGATCATCGAAAAGATGAGGATGCGGCCAAGCATAGGGTTATTGCTGACAGTGATGAGGAAATGGAGGATCGAGAACAAGACACGGGCGAATCTGACGGCGACCCACCAGACGAGAGCGACGTCGACGCTTCCATTGCAAAGCAGCTCCGTGAAGAGGCAATCGCCGCGGCGAAGAAGAAGCCGTCCAAAAAGGGCAAACGTCCAGCTCCTCCTCCGCCACCGCCCGAACCAGAGCCCGAACCATACAAAGAGTTTACCTCGTTCTTCAAGAAGCCATATCAGCGAGATGCTGCGCTCAACAAGAACAGGCGAAGGGGCAGAAACGTGCTGGCCTGGGGTCAGCCGGTACCAGATGGTGATGAACAAGAATTCGCGCTCCCGCAGGATATCCTGGACGAGGAGACATTGAAAGCCCACGCAAGAAGAAAGCGTAGGGACAAGAGGGGGAAACATTGAACATCTCCCACATTTTCTTATTTCTTATCTGGCATTGAGAGTGTTCTCGGCTGGCGTTAGGTGGTCATTAAGGGATAACAAGCCATGGTGTTCTTTTACTTCATAGCCGGACAGTCTTGTATTTTGTGTTAATTTGGTGTTTGGGTTCTGGGTATTTCCAACGTAGGAGTAGCCCGGGATGCTTTAGTTTCGTCTTACACTCTTCACATCATCTCGATAAGTATCATCACTTATTTCAAACAATCATAACACGGCATAACTACTCGAAGTCGTTGATGGGAAGTTGGAGATTCGGCATGCACAATGCCAGGGTCATAGCACGTTTTGTATTGTTTGTCGGCGTAGTCTTCCATAGCTGTAACACAAAAAATAGCCAATTTTGTTATCTTGACGTTGAAACCTTGTTGATATCGGTCGGTTTCAACACCGAGCTCACCGCCATGTGACGACTGACGACATCATCGGCAGCTCTGGAGGATGGAACATTGCGGGGCCACGAGCGCGGAAGCACTGGCCAATCAAAAAGTTGGATCTGGTCGAGGGCGCGCAGACCCACTGATGACCCACACGGACGCTGAGCGCATGCCAAGACCGAACCTCAAAGGACAAAACATGGCAGTTCGGGGCGGCAAAACTCCGGCACTGGCTCGACGACGCTTGGCTTTCAGGTGCTCCTGCATTCACTGCACTCAGCAACGGTTGTCGAGGGCAGGCAACCAGTGACCCAGGTCGTCACATTTGTCGCAAAGTCACAACGCGGTAAAAAGGTACCTCTGACCTGTGTCCGCAACCACACGTCGAACATCTCCAGGACCTCCAACTTTGGTCCGGATTCTGATTTCCTTCAAATCAGATTTACTGCAGTGCAGCACATATTTGTAATACGGACAATTCGGTCCGTCAGTCATCCTCTAGACGCACGCACGTCTGGTCAAAAGACGCGAACGTGATCGTGTTTGGTGTAGTCGCGACTGCTGGTATTGTACTGAATTGAAGGTACCTCCACCCGTACCTTGTAGGTGCCTGACCGATTGCGACTCTGGAAACTCCAACCCGCGACGGGACTCTGGGAAGGAAGCTTTGAACGACAGGTCCGGTCGCCTTTTGCTTTGCTCTTTCCTCGTCACCATCAGAACGCCCACCAGAACCGCCCATCGGCCCTGCGACGTATGCCCACGGATTACGACGATTTGCCCCGCGCCGAATCCCGCAGTCTGTCCAGAAGCACACGCCCTTCATTTGCCTTGGTTAAATCCACCCGCCACGCAGCTCTCGAACAATCGTCCAACTTCTCCTCCTCGCAGAATAGTAGCATCTTCTCTCCTGCACCGGCGGACCTCCGACTCCTGCAGTTGCGCAACCCAGCCCCCGCCCTATCGCGCAGTTATAGATTAAAAAAAAAAGAATAATACAAGTCCGATCATCAGAGGTAGCGTCCAACCCGTTGCGTCTGTGACCACTGACCGGCCTTTGCTCTAACAAGCTACCTCTGTCACGTCAGTCCGCATAATCTCCATCGCAGCCGAGTTAACTACGATATCGCGGGGTCGCTTCCATGCGCCACCTCTTGCCATGACCGAGTGAGCGTTGTCGGCCTGTCCAAGCTTTGCCAGGTCGAGCTCTTGCAAGTTGTTCACTTTCCCATAAAACCGACCTCGACAAGCCTTCTCCTTTGGCTCCCCGCTCTCCTCTCGACATTTCACGACGTCCCTCCCGATCACACAAGCGACGACCTACTTTAACCAAACCACTGCGTCCATCATCTTGCCGGCCTCACCGGCCACACAGCAACATCCAGCATGTCAGGACTCGAGAACGGAGATCTGGCCCTCGCCAGTACGATGAACGCCCCCGACCCTGGTCCCGCTGCCGAGCCGTACGCCATCTTGAGGCAAGAGGTGGAGCTAGACATCAACTTCAGGGAGAAGAGCGTCAGCGGCATTTGCACGTTCAAGATCTATCCTCTGATTCCCGACCTGGAGGAACTCATCCTGGACACGCGGCAATGTGATATCGACGTCACAAACATCACGGTCGACGGCTACAAGACACATGCAGAGGCTTATGATCCATACGACCGAATGGAGCCTCCCACGAATGCCCAAATTGGTGCCACTCAACATCACATAATGAAGAAATGGATGGCACCACTACTGCCAGAGGCACGCCGCCAGCTTCCCGTCGTGGAAAGGGCAGAGCAGCTGAACATTAGTGTACCAGCCGATGCGTCCCTCAGGATTCGTCTCCGGCCGGACGCTCTCGTCCGGGATGCTGAGCCGAAACGCATTCTCAAGCTCAAGACCGCAAAGGCGGTATCGGACAACACGACAGGCTTCTCAGACGCGATTGAGGAAATTACGGTGGTTGTGCCTTTCAAGTCCAAGAGAATCAGAGATGGTCTGCACTTTGTCGGCGTTGAGGAAGGTGATCTAAGATACCCACACGTTTACACTCGGCATTCGCTGGAGCCTGGTACGGCGTCTTGCATTTTCCCTTGCCTTGATGATCCTGGTTCTCGACATTCCTGGACAATCAAAATCACCTGCCCAAGGACCTTGGGTGATGCCTTCGCACAGCCTTTGGCTACCCAGTCTTCCCTATCGACTCTTCTGGAGGGCAGTCGGAAACGCAAGGCCTCCGACATTTCTTCGCACAACCCTGGGTCGTCTTTCACTGAAGAGGACAAGCTAAGGGAGATGACTGTGGTCTGCTCTGGTAATCTTACTGGCGAGCAGATGCACCCCAAGGATGAGAGCAAGAAGACCATGATTTTCGAATGCGTGAATACCGCTGCTAGGCACATCGGTTTCGCCGTTGGCCCCTTTGAGCACGTTGATCTCGGAGCAGAGTTTAGAACTGAGGAGGCGGACGAGAAGCTCGGGGCTAATGCAGCCAGAATTCATGGCTATTGCCTTCCCGGCCGTGTTGAGGAAGTTCGGTGGACCTGCAACGTTGTCGTGGCTGCTGCCGACTTCTTCGCCCCAGAGTTCGGCCGTTATCCATATGAAGCCTACAAGATGTGCTTTGTCGAAGATCTGGTCCACGACACGGCGGTTGCAAACTCCTTATCCTTGTGCAGTACGCGTTTGCTGTACCCCGAAGCCATCATAGACACGGAAATCGAGGTCACCAGGAAGCTCGTCCATGCCCTCGCCAGTCAGTACCTGGGAGTGCACATCGTGCCAAATGAGCGGTCCGACACTTGGCTTATTCTTGGTCTCCAGTGGTTCATGACGGATCTGTTCATGAAGACCATCTGCGGAAACAACTGGTATCGCTTCCATATCAAGACGCTTTCAGACAAGCTTATCGAGGCAGATGTTAGGAGACCCTCACTGCATGCTCTGGGCGATTACCTCCATCTTGGTGACTTTGAGCTCGAGTTCATGGCGCTCAAGGCGCCACTGGTCCTTTACATTCTCGATCAGCGCATGTCCAAGATTCCCGGCTCCACAGGTGTCGTCCGCGTCTTGTCCCAGATGGTTTCGACAGCCAATATCTCCAACACGGATCCCAAGGCTACCTCCCTTTCCTTTCAGGACTTCCGTCGACAGTGCGAGAAACGCAGTCAATATGTCCCCGACGAGCTGTGGGATCAGTACGTGTTCGCTGCGGGCTGCCCAAAACTGGATATTCACCAAAAGTTCAACAAGAAGAACCTCAACGTCGATATCCAAATTCTCCAATACCAAGGGCCGGTCAAGAAAAGCATCTCGAAGGACGAATTCTGGAGGGAGTTGCAAGAAGAAATCCACAATGTCTATGCCGGCGACGTCCCTAAGCTTTTCACTGGTCCGTTCACCGTCCGGATTCACGAAGCAGACGGCACACCTTATGAGCACTATCAGCTCATTACGGAGAAAGACAAAGGTGGGACAAATCTGCAGATTGCGTACAACACAAAGTACAAGCGCCTCAAACGCACCAAAAAGGCCATGGCCGCGGCTGCCAACAGCAATAGTGACAAGCATGAAATTCAGGAGGACGATGTTGTCTACTTTAACATGTTGGGCGATGTTCTCACCAGCCAAAAGGATATGGAGGACTGGGGTTTGCAGGACTGGGCTCAAGAGGTCCAAACCAAGATGGATCAAGAGTCATACGAATGGATTCGGCTAGATGCCAACATGGAGTGGCTTTGCTTCATGAAGACCGACATGCAGGAGTACATGTATCTGGCACAACTGCAACAGGACCGAGACGTCGTGGCCCACCAGGACGCGATGCTCGCTTTCAAGCGGGAAAAGAGACATCCGGTTCACTCGACGGTCGAGACGCGTACCGTGATGGACAAGAGGTATTACCATGGTGTTCGAGTTATGGCTGTGGAGGATCTCGCCAAGCAAGCCCATCCTGATTTGAACTACATCGGTATGGTCCATCTCATTCTCTGCTTCCGGAAGTTCTTCTGCAAGAAAGTACCTATCCCTGGCAAGAAGGATGCCTATAACTACCCAATTGCCCCCAATGATTTCACCGACAAGGGTCAGTATGCCATCCAGTGTGCGATTCCTGCGGTGCTGGCACGGACGACGGACCTACAGGAGAAAGGAAGGTGCTCCAAGCGGGCTCGACAGTTCATCATGGAGATGCTCATGTTCAATGACAATTCGGAGAATGAGTTCTCGGATCAGTTCTACATCGCCAAGCTCCTTGATGCCCTGACCACGTCTTTGATCCCGCAGAAAGAGATTACCGAGGGGTATCTTATCAAAAACCTGGATCCTTTCGACGACGACGATGCGGAATTCAAGAGCTTCATTGAGAAAACCATCGAAGAGATCGACAAGTTTCGCAGGATGGACGAATGGACCCTAACATATCAGAACATCTGGACCACAACGGCTCTTCATTGCAAGATGAGGCTAATGAAGGCTCGCGTCATCCCTGAATCGGCCCTCGACTTCGTGCAATATCTCCAGGACGACAACATCGATCTTGTCCGGATCAAGGCGTTCGAATGCCTGGTTGAGCTTGGGATGATCTCGAAGGCCCCTATTCTCAAGCTTCTGCTTTCATATATGAGCACCGACAGCTCGCCCTTCGTCCGCGATCGCTTGTTCAAGGTCTTTTGCCAGGGAATCGCTGCCATCGCGTTCGGCGAGAACAAGGCTTCGGCACAGGAACTTGAAGCTCTTGATGATGGAGGTCTTGTCATTGACCAAGGTGACGCAGAAATACAGCAACGGAAGCTCGATGCAGTGCGTCGGGAGGACATCGCCCATGCGCTTACTGCGCTGAAAGAAGAGCTGAAGGGGAACAGGGAAATGCAAATCTCCATATGGAAGGCATTCAATTCTCCAGTCATTGGCCTGCAGGAAAAGCGTCAACTGCTGGAGCTCTGCTCGGCCATGTTTGAACCGGAGGATTCTCTACTTGTTACTATGAAGTATCCCATCGTATGGAAGGCGACCCGCGAACCGACGATTGTCGCCGCTGCACCACCAGTCCTTGGAACTCCGCCGAAGAAGAGGTGTGTTGTCAAGTTCAAGTCGGAGTACAGGACCTGTCCTAAGAATAGGGAAATGGCTGCGATCGAAGCTCCACCGCCTCCTGTGCCACTGCCGGCCCCGGCCCCGGCCCCGTCGACTGCCTCATCGTTCTCGGCTGCCAGGGTGGAGATCAAGCCGCCTGAGAAGAAGACAATCGTGAAGCTACAATCGCGACCATCGTATATCGCTAAACCAAGGGAGTCACCAGCACCAGAGGCTCCCCCACCAGTACGAAAGGAGTCTATCGCACTGGCCGTGCCCCCTCGGCCTCCTACGACTGCCGGTCCGCGCACTCCCTTGCCCACATCAGTTCCAAGTGCTCCCGCACCCAATCCACCCGTCGCTCAGCCTGTTAGCAAATCAGCTGTGCCAAAAGCGGCTTCACCTCCTCCTCCTCCTCCTCCCGTGCCTGCACCCAAACCCCAGCAGCCTAACGATGTTCCTGCGCCAAAGCCCAGCACTGTCATCTTGAACAAGCCGAAGATTGTCAAGCCGGTTATCAAGCGCAAGAGTGATGAATCGCTTGAAGGAGCCAGCCCGAAGAAAATCATCAAGACCAACACCGACTCCTTCAGGAGTGATCCTTCTCGCAACAGCTCGTTCAAGTCAGACTCGGCGCGGGGCGAATTCTTTAAGAAAGAGGCTCCTCTACGAACCGAGGCTGCTCCCAAGAGCAGTTCCTTCCGCGAGTCTGCGCCCCAGGCTCCGACTTCCCGTACATCGACATTCTCCGTCCGACCCAACGCCAACGGTCGGCCCTCCAAGGTCGTCACGGTACCATTTAGGAAATGGATGAAGCTATCCGGTCGCGCTAAGCGCAACATCGACTACGAACAGGGCCAGCGCGAGCAGAAACTGCTAGCCGCCACCGCCAGCGGCTTCTCCGGCAGAGATCTTGCCACGCCCGTCCACAAGCGGTCGAGCGCTGCGGTCGGATTCAGCAGCGGGTCGGCGCCTTCATCCCCTAAGAGTCGGATGCAGTCGCCTGCTGGTAATGGATACGGCTCGTCTAGTTCGTATGCTGAGAAGGAGCAGCGGAGTAAGGACCGGGACAAGTTCCGGGAGAGGATGGACCGCGACAGTGACCGCGAGCGCGAGCGTGAGCGTCCTCGCGAGAAGGAGCGAGACAAAGAAAAGTACAGGGAACGAGATCGGGATAGTGACCGCGAGCGTCCTCGTGAAAAGGACAGGGACAAGTACAGAGAACGGGATCGGGACAGCGATCGTGAGCGCGACCGACCTCGTGAGAAGTACAGGGAGAAAGGAACCGACCGGGGCGATAGCGACAGGGGGGCATCACGCACTGACAGTGACCGAGAACGCAACCGTGATCGGGAACGGGAACGAGAGAGAAGTGACCGTGATCGCGAGAGGACTGACCGCGAGAGGGAGCGGATGCGCGACAAGTACCGTGATCGAGCTGATAGAGACAGCGACCGAGAGAGCGCCAGCAGCTACAAGGATCGTGATCGGGAGCCTCGCGACCGCGACCGTGATAGAGACAGGGATCGCGATCGTGATCGGGACCGCGACAGGCCATCCGGCTCCAGCCTGCTCATCAAGAAAGACCGCAAACCGCTGCCAGGATCAGGAGACAGGGAGAAAGAGAGAAGACCATTGCCTTCTGGATTACCTTCCGAAAAGGCTCCGCACCCCCTCAAGGAATCCCATTCGCCTCTCAACCCGACTCCCGCCGCTGCTACGACCAATGGTGGTGGCGAGCCAAAGAAGAAGATCATCAAGCTTAAGTTGAAGAGTAGTGGCAGTGGACTAGGCGGTGGTTCTGGTTCTGGAACGGCATCATCGTCAACACCTCGCTAGACGCGAGGTAGAAAGAAGCAAGGACAAGAAGAGAACGAGAGAGGGGTGAAAGAATGGGTAGAACGGGAGGAAGAACCGTGCGCACTTCGCAGTCAACAGGGTGAGAAAAAGAAGGATGAATTAGGAAGAGAGGGAGGAAAACAGAAAGGAGAAGCAGAAGTTGGGAAACGACTACCAAGGATAGTGATAGTCGGGAAGTATGCCCGAAAGACGAAAGCATGGGCATAAGTATTCGCTTACGAGACGAAGAAGAAGGGAGTGAAGTGGGGTGAAAGTGGTCAAGCGGTTGAATCGATAAACTAAGGAGAGGGGGGGTGGTGGATTTTTGCTTTGCAGCTGGGTTTAAGGAAAGGTTTCTCATGGCAGTCTCTGTGTATCTACATACCTATGAGAGAGGAATGAGGGTACTATAGCGGATTTTCAAAAAAGAAATAGGCGTTTGTTCCACACTTTTGTTTCGTTGGCATAGTTTTAGTGTTGCACTTTCATAACTCGGAAGCACAAATATGTTACGACATTTCACCTCAGACGAAGGAAAGACTTCTACACCATGCCATCACATTCCGAGGCGCTTCCTGATCTGTTCCTGTTGTACTTTAAGCAGAAAATACACCACCACCTCATGCAATCGGTCTAGCAACCAAGGGGTATCATGGAAAATTAAAAAATAAAATAAAAACAATGCCACACCATGATCCGCCATCCCACCCCTTCAAGTTACCTTAATAAAACAAACCATTTATACACCCACATGCAGTCATCCATCCATCCGTGAATTCCTTCACCGCCATCTATTGATTAATCATGATCATACCATACCATAACCCACTCATATCATACCTAGCTTCATCCAGCACCCGACCCAGGAGTCAACTTTCAATCATCACTTAGAACTATCCTTCATCCTCCCACACGTAGAGCAAGTCCACCACTGCCTCTCCATCCTCTTGCCGCAAAACGAACATTGCCATTTTTCTGTTAGGAGCTTGTGGCGCGCGGCGTCAGCTTCGGCTTGGGCTTGGAGGGTGGATTTTGCTTTCTTTGCTTTCTCTCTTTCTCTTTCTTTTTCTTTTTCTTTGTCGGTCTTTGGGTCGTGCTGGAATGTTGAGGTTGAGCTTGACTTTGGCTGTGGTACTGGTGTTGATCTTGATGCTGATGCTGATGCGGATCCGGGTACTGATGCAGATCTTGATACTGATGTGGTCCTGGAGTGAGAGTGAGAGTGGGATTTTGAGTTGGAGTTGGAGCTGGACTTGGACTTGGAGCTGGAGCCGTGAGATGAGCTGTGAGATGAGCCGTGAGATGAGTTGTGCTTGGAGTTATGGGAACTTGACGATGGGCGGGTACGGATGGACGGCGGGGACTTGGTTAGGTCGATTACTGAGCTGCTTGGGTGTTTTGTGGTTAAAGAGCTAGATTTTGAACTGGAACTTGGCTTGGAACTAGAGCTGGAACTGGAGCCCCTGGTGTTATCTTTAGGAAGAGAAGTAGGAGTGCTGGTCAAAGTCCGAGGCAGCCGTTTGGTACCACAGGCGTCACACAAGAGGAAGGTGTCAGGGTTGTGGAGGGTACAGATCCTGCAGGCCCAACCATCGCTTGAGGATTCGTTGGATGGTTCTCGTTCTGCTGAAATCTGCGGTGGCGGCGGTGATCGAGGAGAAGTGACCGTGGGCCTAGCGGCCGGTTTAGTGTGATGAGGAATCGGCGGTGGTTGTTTAGACGACAAAGACGATGTCGCTGACCCTTTACCCTCCAGATCCTCTTGGGTCTGTTGAAAAGCCCCCTGACTCCCAGCCGGAAACTCCCTACTCGGCTCAACATACCCACTCCCAAACTTCTTCTTCTCGTCCTCCTGCACCAGCTCCCACAACGCCTGCGCAATGGCCGCTTCATTCGCCTCATCCTCCTCCGCCCTGGAGCGAAAGCCGTTCCTAGTCGCCTGCTCCTCGATCTTGCGGATCTCTTGCTCACCTAGCCCTTTATCTCCCGTATCCTTCACCCCAACTCCGCACCCCTTCAACGTCTTATTCCTCCTCTCCACCGCCTCAACAATAACCCTCCTGATATCCTGCCCCGGCCTCGGCCTCGCTCCACCTAGTTTCTGTCCCGACCCAGCACTTAGTGTCGTCTGCACCTTTCTCTTCTCCGCTTGCTCCCTCGCCAGCCGTCGCGCTTCATGCATCGGAATCCTTCCTCTGTTAAAAGAAGAACCACCACCACCACCACCACCACCACCAAGCCTTCGCCCCTCCGACAAGAACCCCTCCCCCGTATACCCCTTCATCACCAACCCCTCATGCTCATCCCGCAGCTGATCCCACAGCGCCTGAAACTTGCCATCATGGGGGCCGTGCACGATATGTGCTAGCTCGTGCAGCATTGTGTCTGTTACCTGCTCAACGGGTAAGAAAAGAGATTTGTCGGAGGGGTAGCGTAGTCGCAACAAGATCTTGGCGCCGCGGTTGATGTTAAGGCCTAAAAGATTTTCTTGCTCCGGGTAGAACTCGCCGAGCTCACGGACGCGCCAGCCGCGGGCGCGCATGAGCGGTTTGACGACGGAGGCGATCTTTTTGAGGACGTGCAGGGCGGAGGAGGGCTGGGGGAGGTGGTGCAGGTGGGAGTAGGAGAGGACTAGGGGGTCTTTTTCGGACATTTTTGAAGGAAGATGGGTGGTGAAATCGTGAGGGTATTTTCGTGAGCCTTGCTCTGGGTGGTGATGATGGATGATTTGTGGTCAGCTTCACGTCGGGTTCTTCGACCAGTTGTGCTGGAGGTGGAATCGCGGGGTGGGTTGGGTGAGAACTTGGGATTTCAGGTTGACGATAATGCGAGAGGAAGTTGTCGTGAATTTTCCACGTTTCAGAGCCTAATCTGTGGTAGGAATCAGGAAGCTTCTCGAGAAAGCACCCAGAACCTTGGATATGCTTCGGTTTGGTAATCAACCTCAAAAACCCAAGTGAAGGTGCGTCAGCTGTTGCCTTCACATCTGAAAGGCAGTGGCGTTGGTGATGCATGGCGTTGTTAGTGGTTACACGAAACAAGGCTTGTACCAGCATCAAAGGGGCCTTTGGGGTAGTATTTTTTGTAGGTAATGGATAGAGGTTCCTTCTAGCGTGAGTCCCACATTTGCTACAACAGCACTGATGACAAACCATCTGCAGCCTCAAAGACGGCGGAGTTAACGACATTGAATCAACGACAACCGACAATGACAAAACAAGTGAACTCCTCACCCTAGAATTATCAAACCCCATATTTCGAAACCATACCGAGAGTACTGACCGGTATTGTTTATAGTCGTTATTCCATTTGGAAATGATTCCTTCCCACTTGCCAAGTGCACAATTTCAGTTGGACAAATGACCCAAGACGAACCCCCCCCTGATCTACTTTGTTTTTCTAGCAAACGAGCTTCTTTTTCGATCCCAGCTCATGCCGAGGTACTGAACAGATATGAGACGGGCTCCGATATTGCCCTTGTGTTACCAGAACATGCCGGCAGTGCGCGTGCCTTTGCATCCATTGTTTGGCTATCGTCTGGATGAATCTGGATTGTTTGGATGGGAATACGACCGAAGAAGGAAACAGCAAGCAAACCTGTGCTCCTATAAGCCAGAAGCCTTCAACCAACGGGAACCCAAAACAACGAAACATATTACACAGAGCAAGATCCGACCACTTAAAAGCCGACCTTGAAGAAACACAACCTTTGGGCAGGCGCCAACGGGGACTTTGAGGCCATTTGCCGCAGCGAATGAGAGAGTCGGGAACCCCGAGCTTGTCTGCGTTAAGCTCTCAGAAGCGCCGTTTCAGGTTGACAGGGCCTCGCTTCTGAGGTTCAGTTCAGTGGGCTTCCCGAGACGGCACCCGATCAACGACCGCTGCGGCAGCCTGTCATCGGTGGCCGATGTGGTTGGCTCTCCCGTAAACTTGTCCCCGCAAGTCGGCAACGCCACTCCCGTCTTGGTTGGTGCTGGTCAATTTTTAGGCCATGCTGGGACCCCATCGCTACCGTGGTGGTACCCAGAAGCCCATGTTTCAGGGGCATCGATCCCTTGAATTTTTGTTCTCTTCCCTTTCGAAGCTCTTTTCTTGCACATTGCGTTGTTTTCCCCCTGCATATGTTGTCAAGGTGCCATCTGTGAGATGCTGTGCATCCCACATCCCGTCCCTTTTTGGACCATCGATCATTCAGTATTTAACACCAGTCGGGAGCAGAGGAACGTCAAGCGAGCAGTGCTCATCCATTGAATGGATACCGATCAATACCCCCCCAATGATGCCAGCCCACTGATTCAAAATTGCGATGTTCAACCGCATGTTGGCTTCCGAAACGCGCTGCCCATGGGTAGGCCCACCTGTCACTTTTGCTATCTGGATGCCCGTCGGATTACAACAGCTTCAGATATAGGGTCTTTTTGAGGACGAGTATGGCGAGCAAACAAATGCCACCGGGTCAGGCAGTGGCGATGGTTCCAAACACTCCACAGCTGGCTGGTAAAGGGCGATTTCCCCATGTCGTGTGTGTTCTGCTTGGTTGATCCCTTTCGAGTCAGGTTGGGGCCAAGCTCGCAATCGGTTGGGGATCGTCACCAGAAGATTGGTTGCCCCTGGGAGGACCGAGAGGAACGACGGAGGACGACCGGATGAACATGGGACGACAAGAGTGTTTGCCAAGTCCGATGATCTTTTCTTGATGGTCCTCCTTTTCTTCCCCGTAACATACGTCCGCACTGCCCCGCTGTTTCAACGACTGCTTATCACCTTGTCTTCTTCCCTTCCTCTTCCTTTTCTTCTGACCAGCCAGTCTCCCTCTTGACGAAAAACCACCGGCCTGACTCGTCCTCCCTCACTCTCTTTCCACCTTCGACTAGTCGTCGAACCTTCACACTCATTTAACCAGCAAATTCCGAGAACCGCAATTTGTCGCGGTCGCCCATCTCGGCCACACATTCTTTTACATTATTTTCACCTCCATCGCCTATCTCGTCTTTTCCTGTCACGATGAAGTTCCCCATCGTCGCCGCCGTTGCGGCTTCCGTTCTCTCAACAGCTGGTCTGGTTGCTGGTGACCCTCACGTCATCCAGGTTCGCGCCGAGGACCTCAAGGTCCGCAAGCATGGCGGTCACAGTTTCAAGATTTCCCAGATTTTCAACCACAGGTACCAGGCAAAGGTCAAGGGCAAGGGCATCAGAGATGTCGCCAAGATCTACGAAAAATACAACATGAAGTTCCCCGACCATCTTCGCCAGGCCCTCATCCGCGTCTTTGCCGACCTAGGCGTCAAGATGCCAGGCAATATTCACGCCGTGACCGATGGCCTCTTTGGCGACCAGCCGGCTGGCAACCAGGGTACGTCTTTTTCATTGTTCCAGGCCCATCCCTGCGCCGCGCATTAACTAACATCCCTTGCAGGTGAGGTTGAGGCTACGCCGGTCGAGTTCGATGTTCAGTATCTCGCCCCTGTCCAGATCGGTTCCCCGCCCCAGACGGTCATGTTGAACTTCGATACCGGCTCTTCCGATCTCTGGGTTTTCAGTTCCGAGACCCCTGCCAAGCAGCGCAAGGGCCAGAAGATCTATAACATTACCGAGAGTACCACTGCTGAGCGCGTTGATGGTCATGTTTGGAGGATCTCGTACGGTGATGGCAGCAGCTCGTCCGGAAACGTGTACCTTGACAAAGTCAGCATTGGCGGTGTCGAGGTTGAGAAGCAGGCTATCGAGTCTGCCACCTTTGTGTCCAACTCTTTCACTAATGACGCCGCCTCCTCCGGTCTCGTCGGTCTCGCCTTCGACTCGATCAACCAGGTCAACCCCCGCAAGCAAAAGACCTTCTTCGGCAACGCCATCGATGACCTAGCCATGCCGCTGTTCAGTGCCAATCTCAATAAGGCTGAGCCTGGCAACTACAACTTCGGCTTCATCGATCCTACTGAGTTCGTTGGCCCCATCAGCTTCGTCGAGGTCGATTCTTCCCGCGGTTTCTGGGAGTTCCAGGTCTCAGGCTACACTCTCCCCGCCTCCAACTTTACCGAGTCCAACAACAAGACGGGTGTTTTCCAGGCCATGCCCCACGCCGCCATTGCCGACACCGGCACCACCCTTCTTATGCTCCCCCAACCCATCGTCGACGCTTACTACACCCAGATCGCCAAGGCCCGCAACGACAACTACTACGGCGGTTATGTTTTCCCCTGCAACGCCGACCTCCCGGACCTGGTCCTCCACATCGGCTCCTACAAGGCTCTTCTCACCGGTGATCTGATCAAGTACGCTCCCGCCGACACCGACGACTTTGCGACGGCCAGGTGGTGCTACGGCGGTCTCCAGAGCGCCCAGGGCTTCCCCTTCGCTATTTACGGAGACATTTTCTTCAAGGCCCAGTTTGTTGTGTTCCAGGGTGGCGAGACCGATAAGAATGACTGGTCCAAGGGCGCCAAATTGGGCTTTGCTGCCAAGCCTGGCACTGAGCTCCCCAAGGAGACCAAGGTTGTGCAGGATATTCTGCCCATCAACAACGTCACCAGCACCCTGACAAGAGTCCGCAGACGCACTGGTGGTGCTTCTGCTCGTCGCGCTGACTAAATTTGGAAACTCTGATGTTTTTGCGATTGATAGTATTTTGAGGAGCAATCCGGCAAACAAACTATACGTTAGTATCAGATATTTACACGAAAATGCCTACGTTGTATATATTATCTAGCCACAGCATCTTTTGCGTTGCATAGCGGGTTATTCATACCTATTCGGTTTATTTTTCTTCTCTTGATGTGTTTCGTACATCGTGGCCGTTTTGCCATTTTTTTCAATGCATAAGAGCCTCTGCTTAAGGCTAGATTGATACCCAGATATAAAGGATTGGCGAGATATATGCATAATAAGTTTTCTATCTCATCTCGATTACGGTGAAACCACAAACGTGCATGTAGGCTGTCGCCGAACTAGTGTTGTATTTTGAGATAAAAGGGGAGAGACTACGGGTACCGTATCCGGTTGTGGTTACTGTCATAACCCTAACCCTTCTACGTCCGCTTCGCAACCCTTCCTCGGTCATGACAAAAAAGGTGGAACCATTTCCAACATTAACACCATAAACCATAAATCCACGAAGACACTACGAAAATCAATAGTTTTTATTGGAAATTAACGCCGTGTCATTGCATCTTCTAAATTAATGCACTCCTGTCCTATTTTGGGGATTTGGTCAATCCAGGAATTGATAGTTTCTTGAGATAAGGCCGCATATTCTTCTTTAGCTAATTGCTTCATTTGTTCATCATCGCATTTTCTTCTTTTTCTTAAGAATTGTGATAGCAGCCTTGCAGTTGTGCCTCTCGACTGCCATCAAAACTATATAAGACTACTTGAGCGACCGAATTGCTATAAGGGATACAGCATAGTTGACACAGATGCTGGCCAAAAGAATGGATAAGGTTCTACAAAGAGAGAAGGGGAGAAAAGGACACCCTCTGGGCAGTCTGGCCGGCTGTCCTAAAGAAGAGACGTGCGCGCGCACAGGCTAATGTTGCCTGCCGCGAGAGTAGAGCACTCGCCTGGCAAGATTGCCAGGCATTTCAGCCGCGGGCACTAGCTCCATGACAATCTTTCTAGGAAAGGATCCGGTAACCGGTAGTCTTTGCAATGTAATATTATTGAAAAATAGTTCCGTTGAAAATTTGATATTATTGAGCCTTTTTGCTTTCGATAGCTCTAATAGATTTATTCTTTATTAGGATAATAAGATAATAAGATTGCTGAAGTATTATTGTCTTTAATCTTTCTATCATAGAAATTACTATAAGAAAAGGACGAAGAGTAATAAAGAAGATGATTTTTGTTATAGATTTCATAGTAGTAATGCAATTCGCCAAAGCCTGATACAGGGGGGAAATCCTGATTTGGTTTCATCTTTTTTGTCATGACCGAGCCTTCCAACCGAAGACAACGGGACAACCACCGCGCGCTTTCAACCCTGGAATATTCCACACGCGTTTGCCGTTGGGGGAGCTTCCATCAACTTTCATCAATCGAGGAGCAAACTCACAAAAGGTTTGTTGGATAGCTTTTCATTACTCTTTTTCTAACAGCGTTTTCTTCAGCATTCCATACGATCCTTGATTCCTACCAACTATTAGCGCGGCACCTCGCCGCAATCAGATTTCGATTGGGCCCCGCATCGCTTCACATCGCATCTCATCACACATCGCCGTCGCAAATCGTTCGCAAATCGCATCGCAAGGGCGTCATTGCGCTACACAGCGTTCACCCACTCATCGCTCACTCACTCTTTTATCAATATCGGAACTCACCCAGCAAGATCACGGAAACTTGACAATCACCCTTTCGACAAGATCGGCATATACACCTTCCACTCAATCAATCAACCATCAACCATCAACCCCCAAGCAAAACAAACGAAAGCCAACCAACCAAACCACCCGACCGGCGCCCTTCACTTCAACCCTCACTTCACCCACTCCCAAGATTTTCACACCCTCTTAAAGCCTAATTGAACCACCAAAACCACCGGCAAAAAAAAAAGAAGACCGCCCAAAATGCTCCGCCGCCCTTTAACAGTCCTCGCCATCACAGCCGAGGACATAGCCTCCTACGAAGACCGCGCCCACGAGCGGCAAAAGGCTCGCGAGATCGCTGCTCGCACGCAAGCTCGTCAGGATGCTATGAGACGGGGTCATGGTCACCACCCCCAGCAACATCAACAGCATCACCAGCAACAACCACAGCAGCCTACTGCAGGAGCGAGGATTTTTGGGAGGGAACAACATCCTGGTGTTGGGAATGTTGCGGCTAGTGGTGGATTAGGGTTTGGGCACGGTCACGGTCATGGTGGTGGTGCGAGGATAAGCGAACAGTACATGGGTACTGGCACCGGCACTGGCAACGGCGACGACGGTGACGAGGAAGAAAGTGAAGAAGAAGATGAAGATGATGCCGGAGACGAAAGTTATTATGCCCAGCGCCATGCGCAAAGACAGGCGAGGATGATGGAGCAGCAAAGGGAGGCGGCGCAGAGAGTACAAGCTCAGCAACAACGACTTGCGCAGCAGCAGCAGCAGCAACATGGTCAGGGTCAGGGTCAGGGTCAGGGGCAGGGTCAGGTGAGAGAGAGGACTACGACCACAACAACAACAACCACAACAGCTGGTCGAAGGGGCGGTGCCGGTACTTCCACCAGAGCAGCAGCACCAGCTATGACAGCTACGACAGCTACGACAACTGCTGCTGGAGGGAGACAACCACGCGGTGGCCATCAATCACGCGCCGCAGCGGCAGCGGCAGCGGCAGTTACTCCCACTGGACCTACCGGACCTGCGATGACAACACCAGCAGCAGGAGGAGGAGGCGGAGGAAGAAGAGGGCTACGCGGACCCACAACAACGACGCGTGCAGGACAACAACAAACCCCATCTGCCACAGCCATAGGAGGACAATTCGACGGCGGATCAGATCAGCGCACTCAAGAAACAGAAGTAAACTCCTCAGAAGAAGAAACCCAGCGCCTGGACCGAGTCCAAGTCCCAGGGGCAGGGGCAAGGGGGTACACTTACTCTGGAGAAATGGATCTCGACATTAACACGCACATCCCGCTTATTCCGTCCCCCTCTGACGATAACGACACGGTTGTTAATTATGGTGGTATCGACAACGGCAGCAACGACAGAAATGGTGATAGAGAAAGAGGAAGAGACAACAACATAAGAGGAATGGAAATTCTTGTTCCACCCTACCACCTCCAAAGCTACGGCTACGGCTTGCAAGTGGAAAGTCATGAGATTCAGTTCCATACTCCGCCTGTTGCTAGTCAATCTGGGAATCAGGTCGTTGGGACGCCTGTTAATCAGGTGCATTATTCGCAAGTTTCTCAATCTCAACCTTCCCAACTCTCTCAGCACACTCAGCACAGTCACGCAACAACACACCATAACCAACAACCCCACCCCTCTCAACCTCAACACCCTCCTCACAATGCACGAACAACCAACAACACCAACCGCCGCCAATCCCAATCCCAAAATATCCCCCCACCAGCACCAACCCCTCCCGTCCCTCGCACAGCAACCCCCAACCCCCACCGTACTCCCCGTGCTCCGACAACGACAACCACCCCCCAACCAAACCAACCAGTGGCACAAACAACAGCAACAACACCAGCCCAGCGCGCCTTACTTCAAGCCCAACAGCGTGCACAAGCAACCCAGCAAGCCTCCGCTATCCGCGCCCAACGAAGAAGAATGGCTATGGAAGCGGATGAGCAGGAGGGGTTATATGCTAGGTTGACTAGGGGACATGCGAGTTTGAGTGTGGCTAGTACTGCTGTGCCTGCTGGGTCGGGGCCGAGGGTTGGTGCCGGTGGTGCCGGTGCTGGTGCTGCTGTAACGCCTGAGGGACAGGTTAGTGGTGGAGCAGGTGCTGGAGCAGGAGGAGGAGGAGGAGGTGCTGGTGGTCCTGGAGGGGGAGGGAGGACTGCGGCGCATGGGAGACGGAGGGGTTAGATTTGTTAAGGTAGTAAGTAGCGGGCCGATCAATCGGGATTAAAAAGGAGCGAAATATACGTCTAGCGAACAACACGGTCACAATATTATTTGCGATGTGTGGTGATCATGATAGAATCATCTTGTTTTGTCATTCGCTACGTAACATACATTGATACCACCCACACGCTGAATTTTCGTCATCTTCCATGGTCACCTAGAATATACATACATACGTGGATCTGCCCTTTTTTCATGTATAAGAGACACACCATGGTGTCTTGAACATGCCAGAAGCGTATAGAAAAAAACGTTGATGAGTCTTCCAAAAACAGAAACCCGCTGGTATCATGCCTTTAACCTTTACCATAGACAACAAACTTTCCCCACAGTTTTTCGTGCCCTAACCATGACCTATTTATCAGAAAGTAATTCCGCTTTTTGTGGAAGATACATAATTATGTAGTTCCCCCATTCCCCCCTTCACTTATTTGCTTTGCAGCTTCTTTATTTTGTTCTTTCTGGAGCTCTCTCCTTTGTTCCTCCTGTAGCTTGCCTAGGTTCTCCTCCGTCAACGCCTCTCCCTGTGTTTGTGTTCGTATTTGTGTTTGTGTTTGTGTTTGTGTTTGTGTTTGTGTTTGTGTTTGTGTTTGTGTTTGTGTTTGTGTCTGTGTACTCTGGTTCACCAAGGTCGAACTTGTCGCCGCGTCTTCCACGCTCGGTCGCATTGGGTATTCTGCCGAATCAACAAGCTGCTCGGCTGGACCGAGCACCGTCTGCGCACCACGGTTTCCTGTAGAGTTTGTGGCCGTCTCTGGTACGCCTTGTCCAGAAGCAGATCCCGGCGAGAAGTACCCCGTCGTCGGATTTTGTTGAGCCTGACCGCCGCCAGAACCACTACCTTGAGAAACCCTCTCTGAAACTCGGACCGGACCCATAGGTGTAGAAAGACTTGAACCTTCGTCCTCGACGCTATCATAGACGTTCAAGTCCAATTCAGACGGCTCCCCATCATTCAACCAAACAGCGGGAATATCCGCACTGCGACAATGCTCACCAGTCTCCGAGCAATTTGATGTTGCCGGGGAAAGATCCTCCCTCTTCGTGGTGCACCACCTGAGCAACATCTTTTCGAGTGTCTTGCTCTTGACCGGTTTGGACAGGTAGTCATCCATGCCCGCCCTCTTACATTTCTCCTTGTCGCCTTGGATTGCTGAGGCGGTCATGGCCACAATGGGAACGTCCTTCACGTAGGTTCTGTAAGGGATGTGATGCCGCAGCAGGTGGGTGCATAGGTATCCATCGATCAGAGGCATCTGTACGTCCATCAATATGATGTCTGGTTTCCTTTTCTTGCCGGCGCTGGCTTCGGACAGATATTCAAGAGCTTCCTTGCCGTTCCAGGCGGCCGCGACTTCAAACCCTAATTTTTTGATCGTTTTGATGGCGATTTGCTGGTTGATCTCGTTGTCCTCTACTACCAGGATGAAAACCTTGCTGCGATCCAGCATGGAAACATCCTCTTGGGAGGTGGTAGTGGAAAGGCTTATTGAGGATTGTCTCCATGCTGACCTCTGCTCACCGCTCAGCCCACTCGGCTCTTGGTGAGCTGGGGGCGGGCTGTTGCAAGATACGCTTGCCTCGCCTTGCAATCTGTCAGATAGCGGACCAGTAGCCGAATTTGCCTTTTGCGGCTTCTTGAATGGGATCCAGAATGTGGCTGTAGTTCCTTCGCCCCTTTTAGAAGCGAGCGCCATACGCCCGTTCATCAATTCCAGCAAGTTCTTGGAAATGGTCAGCCCAAGACCGGTACCTCCAAACTTCCGCGCTGTCGATGCATCTCCCTGACTGAAAGGCTGGAAGAGTCCTTTTAGTACTTCCTCCTCAATACCGATGCCCGTATCCTGAATCACGAACTTGACCTCAATGGTATCATTTGTTTCTTGTTCGACAAAGACGTTGAGCTTGACATGGCCTTCGTGGCAGAACTTGATGCCATTCTGCGCCAGGTTACATAATACCTGCCGCAAACGTCCAGGATCTCCCATGACCACGAGGTCAAGCGCAATATCCGAACATATCTCGTAGTTGAAGGTTAAGCCTTTCCGCTCAGCCGTGAAGCTGAGCATTTTGCTGACCTCCTGAATAACGACAGCCAATGAGAACTGTACTTCTTCGATGTCCAGTCGCCCGGATTCAATCTTTGAGAAGTCAAGAATGTCGTTGATTACAGTCAAAAGTGCGTTCGCGGAACGGAAAATGTTCTCCGTCAGCTCTCGTTGCTCGGCATCAAGTCCAACGTCAAGCAATAATTCGGCCATTCCGATTACACCAGTGATTGGTGTCCGAATCTCGTGAGACATCTAGATACCATCAGTTCGGAAGCAATGTGGGGAGCAAATGGGTATACTCACGTTGGCTAGAAACTGGCTCTTGAGCCGACTTGCTTCTTTTGCAGCTGCTTCGTTGGCTAGAAGCTGCCTCTTTTCCAGAACCTGTGCCTCAATATCTCTTTCGCGGTCCTTCAACTCGGTGACGTCCATTATGAAGCCCATGACGCCTTCGACGAAGTTTTCTATTGAGTTTCCGGTAATAGGATCTCTCCTGAGAATGGGCTGAAAGCCAGTGCGGTACCATCTACCTGCTGAGTCTGTTGTTAGACTCTTCAGGACACTCGAATTCTTACGTCTGTGATGGTACTTACCGAACTTGTGGTCCTGTAGTTCCACCGGTGATTTTCCTCCAAGGATGGACTCAAGGGGCTGCAGAAACGCAGGTGTTTGGCCGTCCGGTAATTGTTGGTTGAGGCTGTTGAAAACTTCATAGACATCTTTCCCAATGAACCATGAGGCACTAAGCTCAGGCGAGAGAGCGTCCCATATCAACGATCCCTCCAACAAAGTAACCTTCCGGTCGGGATCAACTGCAAACATCGTCATGCGTGAGTGGGCGATAACACTGCGTAGCTGTTGTCTTGTTCGCTTGGCCTCGAGCTTAGCCTCCATGGTTTCGTGCACGTCGGTACAGGTTCCTGCGACCGTAATTAGACACCATGATTTTCAGCAGCAATAAAAGAGAGCTATTTACCGAACCACTTGTCGATCTTTCCCGTTTGTTTGTTCTTCAGAGGGAGCGCCCGACCAAGGAACCATCTCCATTCACCATCTTTGCTGCGACACCTGTACTCTATCACATACGGCTCGCCGGTGCGAAGTGAGCTTTGCCATCGTCTCTCAGTCTCGACCAAGTCATCCGGATGAAACGCTTTTCTCCAGCCTCCGCCTAGCGAATCTTCTTCGGTAAGACCTGTGTAGCTGTACCACCTGCTGTTGTAGAAGTCATGCGCGCCATCGGGCCCCGTAGTCCACACAAGCTGAGGCATGGTATCGCATATCAACCTGAACCTTTCCTTGTCTGCCTCTTTGATTTGACTGATTTCATGCTCGATTCGCGTTATGTCCCTGCATGTGATCACGCCCGCCAAAAACTCGCCTGTGATCTCGTCTCGGATCACAGCTCCCTCGACGTCGAATATTAACCGCTCGCCACCTTGGTCCAACATCCCAATTCTGTAGGTTTCAAAAGGCATTTCAGTTTTGATCAGAACAGATATTGGGTGTTCATCTGTCTCCAACTGCCTGCTGAAGTCGTCGTTCCACACCTTCCACTGTTCCAGGAGGTTGGAACCTTCCAGTGGAGCGCCCTGTGCAGGATCTTGGTTGAAAAGCCGCCGTGCAGGTTTGTTGGGAAGGATAACACTCCCATCCTTCCACATGGCAATAATTGGCGTCTGCGTCTTATCCAGAAGAGCATCTTTCATAACTGTGATTTTTTGCAACATTGAAGGAGCACTGGTGATGGAAGATTGCGATGGAGGTCCGAGCGGAGGAAAAGGACTAGATGACATGGCGACCGCAGATGGACTTAGGGGAAAAGATGGAGAGCGAGTACGCGAATCACGACTTGAAGTCATAGAGGGAGGGTCGTTTACGCTGTAAGAGTACTTCTTCTCAGCAGCATCCAAAACGTCACGCTTCCCAGCCAGCTTCTTAGCACCAACCGGAGGGACATAGTTGGACTCGGTGTTAGTGAAGGTGAGGGTAAAGTAGGTTTGCTGCGGGCTCAGCTGCCAGACCGAAATGATCATCTTGGCTTGTGCGTGGAAAGTAGTGCTCTCTGACCGGGCGCGGGTGTCATATGTTGTCCGGGCGATATCTCTTCTGGCAATAACCACATCCACAACAGCGTTGGGTGACGGGTGGCAGGTGGTGTTGGCTGCGTCTCCGTCGCACACGCCATCCATAGCTGGAGCCGATGTCGATCTAGAATGCGGCAAAGAAGCGGAAGGTGACGGAGGGACCTGTGCAGGACGTGGCGTAGCGTGTCCGTCGGGATCCGTTTTCAGATCTGGCTTGGAGATCTCTCCTCCTCCCATGTTTCCAACTCCCATCTCAAGGGCAACCTGGCCCAAAAACTGTTCCCAAGCAATCCAAACCGGCATGCCATCCTGGATAAGGTCGATGCCAACTTGGGAAAGAGACTGGCCGCGGAGTTGGTCCATTGTCGAGGAAAGATCATGACCTTCTCCGGCCCCATCTAACGGCATGCCCAGTAGTCTTCCCATAGACTCGTTAGCCAGCACCACTGTTTTGAGGCTATCCAAGACCAAGATTGGAACGGGTAAAAATTGCATTGCTGAAAAGGCAAGCTGGCCCGGAGTTATGAATGGCATTGTGAGTCGCAAAGGGCTCGACGACTGACTTCGGCGTACTTGATGAGCCATGGAAGGAGCCCCTCGCCAGAGGCGCTTTAAGTTTCCCTGGGGTAATGGTGTGCTTTCGTCTACTCGACTTCCGGAGGGAGCTTCAGGATCAGACACGGAGTTCCCGTCTGCTAATGCTGATGGCATGTTGTGGTCTTGTAGGAATTGCGTCTCTTGGTGGGCGGACCGGGGCTCGTCCTGCAAGACAGGGTTGTCATTGTCGTCTGGCGAGGAGGGTAGACCGGGGCCCATGTCGTCGTCCCGCAATTGGGTCGTACGAGGATCCTGTGGTCCGCGGAACTCGTAAATCGGCACGGCGTGTTCGATCGCAGGGGCTTGTTTTATGTTTCTCGGCCTGGGAGGCTCGGAAAAGATGGAAGAAAGGCTAATGGGTTAAAAGACGGCAAAGACACCTGGCGCTATGACTGAGGTAGTCGAACCTTGAGCATGGCGCCCGTAACTCTTGTGAAATGCCTAGCCAGGAGTCAGGGTGTCAGACGCCTACGCGTTCGGGAAGTGGCTGTTGGAGATGTGGCCGTGGAGGTTGGCCAACCGGGCGGGTGGTGACCACTGGAGAGGGTAGAGCTGGAATGCGGAGAGGAAGCCGTCGGTTGTGACGGTTCTTTGACTGGATGTTTCAACGAGGGGGAAACGAAGCCGGCGAAGCCCAACGGCAACAATTTCCGTATGCAGTATCAATGCAGAAAGGGATGGATACTGTTTATGTCGGTCTGAAGTAAAAGGGGAGTGAGCTTGGTTGGCCTTGTACTGTCGTTGTCTGTCTTGGGGATCGCGAGGCTTTTTCGGGGGAAGCTAAGTAGCTATTCCGTGGTCGTACGCCGTGATAACTGTTGATCAAACTGCAAGTGTATCCCAAGTGGTTGTGTATGCGCAATGTTGAAGATGGCGGGTGCTGGCGGTCGAAAAGGATGAGACGGGAGTCGACAAGGAAGTGCAGTGGTGGAAGAAAGAACAGATGGAAGAAAGCAAGTGAAAGACCGAAGTGGAACTGTAAGGTCGAGACTTTTCGCTTCTCGGTCACTGGTTTGCGGTATTCAACTTGAAACTGCCCAGGCCCTTGTAGAGAAGTTGAAATGGAAGGAACAAAACGGGAACCGGCAAGCACGCAGGTGGAAAGTGCAGAAGCAGAAGCAGAAGCAGAAGCAGAAGCAGAGCAAACTAAAATCAGATGCAGCCGCAGCCAAGGAAAGCACTCTGCATGGATTGAAGTTGCCCTAGGGTAAGGCAACCTAACGGAGGCCTACCGGAAGGTCTAACCCAGATCCCGGGTCGCCGAAGCGGAAAGAAGAAGGGGGACGTTTGAACTGTAGCTGCCAAACAGAGAAGGGAAGCAGTGCAGTTTGTAGAGAAGTAGGTACCTCTCAGGTAGGCAGCTGTAGAGGCAGTGACTTTGGCTGAAGTAGTGTAAAGGACAGAGTCCCGCTGGGGTTCAGATGATTGAGTGGATGGAAGGGAGGACTTGTGACTAACAATGTCAATGCCCGATCCGATCGAAGAAAGAAAATTTTAAGAATGGATAAACCTCGCAAGGTAATAGCGCATCCGTTTCGTTTCCATCGAGTCCCATCGTTCCATCGAGTCCCATCGTTCCATCGTCGACAAGCACCATCCACCATCCCTCCATCCACTGTGCTTCCTGCCCGGCCGTTATCAACCAGGTACACACATCATATTCTACGACTCCCATTTACTTTGCCGTTGTTCATCTTGGGGGGTTGATGCAATCATAATCGTGTCGTCAGAATTGGTCATGTCAAGACAAGGACAGCATCATCACGCATGCGCATGATGATGGAGAGACTTGGGAAGGGAGGGGAGCTTGGTCGGGCAACGGATGGACCACAGCAGCGGATTTCAGTCGCCATTCTCCCGTGGTCTCTACAACTCACTCAGTCTACGAGAACACTTCCAAATGCCGGCAGCTGAGTGGTTTGATGCGTCGACGCGTACAAGCGCGGAGAGATCGGACTGTAACCTCGATCATATCATGGTAGCGGTTGAGTGGCGACAGAACAAAATCCCAGTACGGTCTTGTTATGTTCGAAACTTGAAGCCATCACGGGGTCTCAAAAGCCTTCTTTTCTCGGGATACGGAAAAGAGGAGACCACTGAGAGTTATGTGAAAAGAGCGCCGGAACACGTCGAACATATCGAGTGCGCCGTCAGGCTTCGGGTCTCGCTTGTCGTCGTCTGACATTCCGGGGAGGGACCCTGTTGGGGTGAGGATCAGAAGTAAATGGCCGGGTCTAGACCTCAAGGGTCCAAGATGGTTCAAGGCGGTCCAATCGAGCCCAGACTTTGTGATCGGTTCGTGGGTTGTGGGTGTGCTTCTCGATTCGTCCAGTGCCTCAGCCGTATCGTGAAAAGGGTTGACCAACAGGCGCATCCCGTCTTGTAATCAGCGACTGTACTTCCGTCCCATCCGGCTTGCTCGTACAACCACAATTTTGAAGAATGCCATATCGAAGGAGGGTTGCCTTGGGAGCCGGCACGGACGCAAACATATCGCCAAATGCACGGCTAGAATAATAGCCGCTCAATTCCCATAATCCCCAGAGAGAACCAACATGGGATTTGGCACAAAACACGAGTTGTTCCGGTCGTATCTCGTCATGTTCACAAGCTGTTGAACCCATGTGCTTCCAAAAGGGTGGAGGGACGTGCCCTGGGTGCCTGAAGCCTGTCAAATGGATGCGGACGAACATGTCAGAACGCCTGCCACCTGTGCTCAGATGCCAAGAGCTGGCGGTTACCCCACCATCTCATCTCTTGTCCCACACTTCTGGTTCCTCTGCGATCCAAAAGATGGGACAAATTCGTATCTATGGTCTTCGATCCCATCTCGTCTCAGATGTCTGTCTGAAGTGCAAATGGCATTGTGCACATGTCCGGTCTCAGACAAACTCTACAACCGCAGCGAGCAAAGTCACCATTCAAAATGTCACCACAGGCCGACAGAAGAGAATGTGCAAGTCATTTCGCAATCCTCCGAGCTGCAACATGATTTCGACTTTTTATACCCTGCCCTCCAGTCGCAAAGACGAGACATACGTTGCTGAGTGCAAGCAATTGGGCGTGGTTTGATTGCTTCAACGCATTGTTGATCCGACCGATGGCCTTTGTCTCACAAGAAATCAGCACGAAGAAACGATGTAACGGGGCTACAGGGAAAACGGCCACAGCCGGTGCTCAACATCTTCAACACATCCGTTCCGTGTCCGAATGTGGATCTGCCGGCTCCGATGTTCACCCGTAGTGGACCCTCGGGATATGGGAATCCGGCTCGGATTTGACTCGGGAGGTGTCCGGGCGTCGGGCGGAGAGACACCAAGAATTCGGAGGCCCCATACCCCGGGCTCCGAAACACTGCTGTCTCCATCCCCCGGGCCCTTCCCTGTCCTTCCAGACGGGGCGGACGCAGCTCCCCCACATGGCTCCCGACAAACACCGCTCGGCTTTCCTCCCACTTCCACGTCGCCCCGTCCACGTCGGTCACGTCGTCAGGCACAAATGTGCAACTCCCGAAGCTATCCCCAAATCGACCAGAAAAAGCCCCAGTCACCGTATCAAGGTTGAGCCTCACAGTAGGGAGATTTGTCAGACAGATGCCGAACGTCACCTCCGCTTCGCCTAGATCCCACTGAAGACCCCGCACCTTGGTTGCCCACGGGGTTGCCAAGAGCCCCCGGGGGCGGTTGTGGGTGTTTTGCCCCGTTCCGGGTGTTCACTTCAGGTACCTCATTATTCATCATGGCCACTCAGTCGTCGACTCTGTCAGTGTCGCCGTGTCATCGACCCCTTGCATATCAAATCTGGGGCCGAGATTGTGTAACCACCACACGAAATATCCAGGAAACAGGTCTGACAGCTTGGGAAACGAGCTCGTCAGGATAAAGCCCCGGGTCAAACTGTCCACGGCAACTTCACTTGTCAGTGTCATGATCACCGATCGTGTCCAACATCTTCAGCCAAATCTGATTAAAAATACCGCCATCAGACTTCAACTGTTCACGGTTTGGTGGTGTAAGTTCGGCATTGCTTCATAAGCTTCTCAGCGGGGGACGGGGATGTCCTGGATGGTTCTCCGGCTCATCAATGGCTACCCACTCCCCGGGTTTGGGTGCTGCGGGGATGTGGGCAACCAAGATCTTCATCAGTCCCACTCACTCCGTCCTTGGGATCCGCTACGACGTATATGATGTTATAGAACCCTTGCTACGCACGCTGGCCGAGACCTCGTTTCCTCCTCGTTCCCCTTGGTCTTTATTCTGTTTCTCAGCATTTTAAGTTTGTTTTGTCTTTTTGTCTGGCTTAACCCTTCCCCAGCTTCTTGATACCCCGGATTGTGCTGGCGATCCCCTTGCTTCTTTATTCAACAACAACAACAACAACAACAACAACAACAACAACCGAAACCATGGCCGAAACATATACCGTACCGTTCTTCATCAACGGCGAGGAAGTCGTCACGCCCAAGACCTTCGATGTCACATCTCCAAGAACCCAAAAGGTTGTTCACAAGTGCAGCAGCGCTACCGATACCGAAGTCCAGGCGGCCGTAAACGCCGCGGCAGAAGCTTTCAAGACATGGAGGAAATCACACCCCAACCAACGCCGTGACCTGTTTCACAAGGCGGCCGAGATCTTTGAGAAGAGGAAGGAGGAGTTGGGACAGTACATGATGAACGAGACAGGTGCTCCACGCCAATGGGCCGACTTCAACATTAACACTGCGAAGGGCTTGTTGTTGGATGTAGCCGGGAGATGCAACACGTTGGAAGGGTCGTTCCCCGTAGTCAACGATCCCGAATCTGCTGCTCTCGTCTTGCAGGAGCCCTTTGGTGTTATTCTTGCCGTTGCCCCTTGGTGAGTCTAGCCGTGTGAGGAGACCAGAAAATGAAAGTCACTAACACTTGAAAGGAACGCCCCCTACATCCTCGGTATCCGCTCGATCCTCTACCCCATCGCCGCCGGCAACACGGCCATTCTCAAGGCCACCGAGCTCTGCCCACGCACCATGTGGGGTCTCTGCTCCGTCTTCCAAGAAGCCGGCCTCCCCAAGGGCGTCCTCAACATGCTTGTCCACGAGCCCGCCAACGCGCCCGCCATCACCAGCTCGCTCATCTCCAACCCCCTCGTCAAGAAGGTCAACTTCACCGGCAGCACCGCGGTAGGCCGCATCATCGGCCGCCTCGCCGGCGAGAACCTGAAGCCGGTCCTTCTCGAGCTCGGCGGCAAAGCCTCGGCCATCGTCTGGGAGGACGCCGAGCTCGAGAACGCCGCGACCCAGTGTGCCCTGGGAGCCTTCCTCAACTCGGGCCAGATCTGCATGGCCACCGAGCGCATCCTGGTGCACAAGTCGATCCGCGCCGAATTTGAGAAGAAGCTCGTCGCCGCCGTCGAGAACATCTTTGGCCCGCAGACGCCCGCGCCGATCCTCATCAACTCCGTCGCCGTCGACAAGAACAAGAAGCTGCTCGCGGACGCCTTATCCAAGGGCGCCAAGCTTCTCTACGGCAACCCCGACGCGCAAGAAGAAACCAGCACGCGCATGCGCCCCGTTATTCTGAGCGGAATCACCACCGACATGGATATCTACAAGACCGAGAGCTTCGGGCCCACGGTGGCGGTGTACGAGATCGAGACCGAGGAGGAGGCGCTACGGATCGCCAACGATACCGAGTACGGGCTGACCAGTGCTGTGTTTACGGAGGACTTGCGAAGGGGACTGCGCATGGCCAAGGAGATCGAGACGGGCGCGGTGCATATCAATAGCATGACGGTGCATGATGAGGCGACGCTGCCGCATGGTGGTGCCAAGGAGAGCGGGTATGGCAGGTTTAATACTGATAAGGGGCTGGCGGAGTGGGTGAGGAGTAAGACTGTTACTTTTAAGTACTAGGTCAGGATAGGACTTGAGAAGGAAGGGAGGGGCTGAAGAGGTGTTGGTGATGTGAGGAAGCAAGTAAGCAAAGCAAGCAAGCGTGCGTTGATAGAAATGTTTGAGCGATCTACTGGTAGGAAGGTTATGTTATGATGATAGTAATGAGATGTTGTGGGAACCCCTTCGTACGCGATACTTGGCCTCAAGTTTACTTTTCCGGGCTGTGAACAAACACCGACGGTGTGTTCCTTGTTCTTCTTTCTGTGTGTAGTGTTGTACGAAAGATCACCGTTGCTGTAGCGATCATCCATCTTCCCCTTTTTTTGCTTAACGCCGCTCGAGCAAAACTCCGCAGCAAGTCTCCGTTTGTTTTGATCATGGGGTCATAACAGCGGTTCCATAACAGGGAGTGCTAAAAGCCAAGTAACAAAAACAGTGAGATGTCGCAATGCCATTCAGGAACATCACCAACCAGCACGTGCAAGACTGATAGGAGAATATCAGCAAAAATATTGAAAAGTTTGACGGGGAAAGTCTCCAATAATTCTCTATCGACCAAAATGGTGATCTATCTGGAAAAGTGTTTAGTAGCAAATATCGGAATTCGGCGTCTTCAGCCATCAACCGCCTTTCTAATTGGTGTGCCGGCTGGTGGAGTAACGATTCCAGGTTGTAGGGAACAAGCCACTAACAAACCGATGCCTAGGGATCTTCTTGGAAACCGAAAACGGTTGAAGGGATATCCGCGGCTTTGAGGATCTCTTGCGAGTTAGAAACCGGGTGCTGTTGTCCTTTATATATGCTGACTCCCTGTTGATGGCGAAGGAGAACTGACTTCTTCAATTGAACTTGATCATTCTCTTTCTTTTTTGCGTCCACTCGTTTTGTTCAACGAACCGAACGAAGGTTCGTCATTCATCAAGGAAATAAGTGGAATTCGGAGAGATAGACAACCGATAGACTATCGATTAGTGAGTCCTAGCACTAAGGTTACCCCGCGTTTCGTTTTGGGGCTTATCAGTTTTGCCAACATCAGTCAGATATCCTTTCCTTGAGGTTTTCTCAAAACGTGAAAACGAATCATATTGGATATCATAAAGAGAAGGAAACCAGAAGGTCAAAATGGCGTCAACAGTCGATAACAGAATCCCCGTTTGGTTGGATTGCGATCCGGGTCACGATGTAAGTCCAGTGTGTTCGGTTTCAGGTGCAGTGGTAGGAACGGGAGTTGTTACACATGAGTCGGATGTCGGCCGCGAGGGAATGCACAGAAAGAGCGAAGGGGAGAGATGCACCTCCCGTTTGGTTCAGTTCATCACTGCTGGCGGCAGGTACGATGCAAGTGCAGGTGCTTCCGTAGCAGCTTCACCTCCGGTTCGGTCCGGTTCAGCTCAGTCCGGTTCGGTTCGGAATGCACGTCATTCATTGTTCACGCACTCTTCTCTCTCCACCAGTTCGTCTCGCCATAACGTCGCGGTGATGAGATGAGATGAGATGAGATGGTAGACTGAAAGAGTTGAAGAGATGAACCGGACGGAACCGGGAGCGGGTCGAACAACGTGTGGCCGGGCAGTGATGACATCGCATCGACACTACTCACCAGTACCGGCGGAGATGGACGGGAATGTGGATGAGTGATTGATATTGCAAGATTGCAGACGTTAACAAGCTGAGATGAACAGGACACCTTCGCCATCCTCCTAGCCGCCTACCACCCAGCCATTCGCATCTTGGGTATCTCTACAGTCTTTGGCAATGCGTCTTTGGAGTAAGTCACCTTTCTAGCCACCCATCTTCCTCACAAACATGTCTAACATATCGCCAGAAAAACAACCCGCAACGCCTGCTCCATCCTAACCTCCATCTCCCGCTCCCACTCCATCCCCATCTACATCGGCGCCTCGCACGCCCTCCAGCGACCCACCATGCACGCGCCCACCGACATCCACGGCGAATCCGGCCTAGACGGCACCGACCTTCTCCCCACGCCTCTCGTCGGCCCCAACACCACCATCGACGCCGTAACCGCCATGTCCACGGCCCTGCGCTCCTGCGCTCCCGGAACCGCCTGGGTAGTAGCCACCGGCTCCTTCACCAACGCCGCCGACCTATTCATCAAGCACCCAGATCTAGTCAGCCACATCAAGGGCCTGTCGCTCATGGGCGGCGCCTTCGGCAGCGGCTTTACTCCTGCGATCCTAGGCACCGTCGACGGCGTGCCCCGCGTCGGCAACTGGACGCAGTTCGCCGAGTTCAACGTTCTCGCCGACCCCGAAGCCGCGCACACGATCTTTTCCAACCCAGAGCTGGCGGGCAAGACGACGCTGATCCCGCTCGACCTCACACACATGGTCTTGACCACCGAGCAAGTCCGCGACCTGATCCTGTACGGACCCGAGGGTAAACTGGCACATCCCGAGCTCCCGCAAGATGGAAGCAAGGGCAAGACCACGCTGCGCACCATGTTAGTGGAGCTGCTCATGTTCTTCGCCAAGACGTACGCGGACATGTTTGGCATCACCGAGGGCCCGCCGCTGCATGATCCGCTGGCGGTGGCGGCTGTGTTGACTGGACTGGTCGGCACGCCGCTGGAGCAGTACCAGATCCCGTTTTGGGACTTCACGCCTGGCAGCGTGGAGAAGCACAGGGAGAGGTTCGAGGTTATGGTGGTTACCGAGGGAAGTTATGAGGATGCGAGGACGGGCGGGGCCAAGACGGGTATGACGGTTGCGAAGCTCTTGCCTGAGGGTCAGGAGGGCGTTAGGATACCGAGGGGGTTGGATATCCCGTTGTTTTGGAAGGTGTTGGAGGAGTGTATCAGTAAGGCGGATGAGGCGAATGCTAGGGGAGAGGATGTTGCGCCTGCTAACTGAAGGGGCGTTGAAAGATTTTTGGCTGAAGGGGTGTTGTAAGATTTTGGCTGAACGGGTTACAGGACGTACGAGTAGAGGGCACAGAAGGGGGCGGTTGCAGAACGCCCATATCTAGAGAGAACTCTGCCTTGGAGATAACATGACAGGTCTGTAGACATAGATTATAGAACTACTTCAAAACACTGGGTATATATGGGCATCTCTTCCGTTCCGTCCCTCCCTTCTAACAACATAACACCCACGGGCTTACTCCTTAGCCTTATTCCTCTCAATAACCTTCATCACATCCGCAAAGTTATTCTTATCACCCCCCTTCTTCCCCCCGCCGCCCCTCTTTCGCTTCCCCTTGCTACTCCCAAGACCCGCCTTTCCACCTCCTTCATACCCATCCTCATCTTCATCCTCACCACCACGCCACTCAGACAACTTGACCTTGGACGATGACGACTCGTCCAGATCGGCATCGTCCTCCATGCGACTCGACCCGAAACCCATATCCAGATCTTCGTCGTCTCTGCTGCTCTCCAGCAACTTCTTCCGCAGTCGCGCCTCTCTCTCGGCCGCCAGCCGTTCCTCTTCGGATTTCTCGGCGGCGCTGATGGCCTTTGCTTTGGCCAGGGCGGCGCGGAAAGAAGGGTCGTCGAGAGAGGGCTTCTTGTATTCTTCTTGTGAGATGAGGCCGGTTTTGGACTCTGAAAAGTAATTCCTCGGTCCTGCGGCGGTGGCTGCTGGTTCCGGTTTCCGTGGAGGTGGTGGCGGCATATCTGCCGAACTTGTCTTCTTTTCAGTGTCCTCCATAACCTCTCCATCCTCCTTATCCCCTTTGTCAGACCCATCATCATCATCATCATCATCAGACCCGCTCTCCAACCCAGCCAGCGGATCATAATCAGACTCGACATCATCGAAAATATTCGGCTCCTTATCCTCCTCCGCCGCCGCCTCAGCCGCTTTCTTCTCCTCCTCCAGCTTTTTGTAATACTCAGGCACATCCATACCGAGCACCTTCCCAGCGGCAAGCGCCTCCCGTTCTTTTTCCTGCTCCTCCCGCGTTTTGTTCACGTCCACTCTGCGCACCTTGCGTCGCTCGTTGCCATCTTCGTCAATGATGATCATGATCTCGTTCCCGCGGTCGTCGCGCTCGAATCTTGTTGAGGCTTGCTTCTTTTGCGGCCCGATCTTCTTGAAGCGTGACCCTAGGCTGGATTCCTCCTTGGCTTTGGCCGCGGCGCGCGCGGCTTTTAGCTCGGCTAGGATCTGGTTTCGGGACTTTTTGGCGCCGGGGGGGGTAGGGATGGTCGTGGTTGCGGAACTCGTCCTTTCTTTTTTGGCTTGCACGTTTTGCTTTTCTTGGCTTTGGATTTCGGGCCGATTCGAGTTGTTCGAGGATNTGGCTCCGGGGGGTAGGGATGTCGTGGTTGCGAACTCGCCTTTCTTTTTTGGCTGCACGTTTTGCTTTTCTTTGGCTTTGATTTCGGCCGATTCGAGTTGTTCGAGGATGTCATCTGGGTCCTCGTCGTTCTCTCCTCCTTCCGTCGCCGCCGCTGGTTCCTCATTGTCTTCGGCATCCTGGTGATGGTGGTTTTCTTCTTCCACCTCGGAGTCCTTCTTCTCCCCAAAAACATCCACCTCCCCCTTCCGCACCCTCTCCAGGAGCTTGAAATCTAACCCTTTGACCAAATGCGCCGTCTCCAACCCGCCTCCACCACCAATGATCTCCGCCCTCAAACGCTCATACTCTTCTTTTTCAATTTCTTCCTTCTTGTACCGCTCTTCCAGCTCCTTCAGCTTGCGCTCCCTCTCGTCCGCCTCTTCCTGCGCCTGTCGCTGCCTGGCGCGATCAACGTACCCTTCGGCGAGCCTGCTACCTTTGGGAGCAGACGTTCGGAGCTTTTTGTTGGGATGTTGTTGTGACGAGGATGAAGAAGAAGCCTGATTACGCTCAGCGAGTTGGCGGGCGAATTCGTTGCGGGGGTTGAAGCCGGCTACGGAGCGGGGGGTCATGGGGATGGAGGAGCGGGCTTTGGAGCCTAGGGCGAGAGTGCGCGGGGTGCTGTTGCCCGGTGATGGCGCTGATGGAGATTTGGAGGTGCTCGAGGAGGAGGGTGGTGATGTGTCCCCATTTTGGTTGTTGTTGCTGCTGTTTTTCTGGGCATTGGCAAGGAGGAGACGACGGAATTGTTCGTTGTTCATTTTTGCGGTGAAAATGGGTTACCGCGTTTCGGTAAGGGATTGCCGTGGATGGATTGTCATGGATGAGGAGGAAAAGAATTGCGAAAGATGATGACGATGGGAAGATGATGTGAATGATGGACGGTCCAGCCTTGGGAGTTTGAGGCGCGAGGCTGGAAGGAAAAGTGGCGTCTGGTTGAGGCTGAGATCTGCAAGCGGGAGCGGGAAGTGGGACTCGAGGTGGGGCCGAATTGAAAACACAGTGTTAAGTGGACCACAGTCACGGGACCTCGCATCAAAGCCGGCCGCGGTTCGTCGCGTTCCAGTCACGTCCACCGAATATTGAAGGCACCACCCAACGTTGAGTTGCCACTCAATCAGATTTCCTTCACCTGCTGGTTTTCTGTACATCAAATACCGTCTTACAAAAACAACATGCTTTTTCACCTTTTCGAGATGAGTTCTCACGACTTCCGCTGAACACCACCGCACGTAAAAGGCGAGATGACCGATAACGATTCATGAATGATGTCAGCCATTTTAGGCATTCTCTCGATCATATGAATTGGATATTTGGATATCGAGATCGAGTTACTAATCGTCAACATGGTTGGAAATAATCTCCTCGAAAAGAACTCGGCTTCAGTACGGAAGAACATCGAGAACCATTCCTTCACCGATGAAGGCGGCGACGAGTACGGGGGCAGCCGCTTCGGCGGATTCGCCGACTACTTCCAGAACAAGCAGATCAAGCTCCAGAACCGCGACGCCCAGTTGCGCTCTTCCGCCAAGGACAAGCCTCAGATCTTCAAAGGAGTTGTCGTCCACGTCCTTGGGTACGTCCAGCCTTCAGCCAACGACTTACACGACACGCTGGTCCAACATGGTGGTGGCTGGCTCCAGTACCTCGCCGGCAAGACGATGGCGACGCACATCATTGCCTCGTCTGTACCGCCAAAGAAGATTGTAGATTTGGCCAACTACCGGGTGGTCAAGCCGGCCTGGGTGGTCGATTCCGTTGCGGCAGGCAAGCTGTTGCCATGGACTGAGTATCGGACTATCGAAAAGGGACCGAAACAGCGAACCATCAAGTTTGATGCTGGAAAAATGCTGAGCAGTCAACCGCGACAACAGACTCCTCAGCGGTATCGTGAACAGACTGAGAACAGCTTTTACACCAATCAGTTGAAGAAATGGAGCAGCCCGTCACAGCCAAAGACGCCCTTCAAATCTCCCTCAGTAACAGTAAACGATAATATCGAGGACTTCGAGGATGACATGTCAGTCGATCTGTTGCAAGCGCCAGCTTCATCTAAGCCAGAGCTACTTGCTCTCGTTGAGCCCGATAAGTCTTCAGAGCAGCCACCCACTACTCCCCCGCATCAAGCTCATCTTGAACCTTCTCCTGAAGCCCGGCCCGTCCCTCCTGAAATGGCAGATCCAGGAATTCCAGAGCCAGGAAAGTCTGAAGAAATCCAGCCAGCAAAACCGTTGACCTCGGAAGAGCACAATGCCAGACTACTCGCAGATCCCAATATGAGAAAGGCTTCAACCGCAAATCCCGACTTCCTCAAGCAGTACTACTCGGAAAGTCGTCTACACCACCTGTCGACATGGAAGGCACAGCTAAAGTCCCGGATGCAGAGCCTAGCCGCTGAAAAGGGCCCAGCCAAGAAGCCGGCCAAGCGGCCTGCTGATTCTCGCAGGTACATCATGCACGTCGATTTTGACAGCTTCTTCTGTGCCGTATCCCTGAAGAAGGCGCCAGAGTACCGGGACAAGCCAGCTGTGGTAGCTCATGGTAATGGGAGCGGTTCTGAAATTGCTTCTTGTAACTACCCTGCCCGCAAGTTTGGAGTCAAGAACGGCATGTGGATGAAGCGTGCTCTGGCGCTTTGTCCGGATCTCAAGATTCTGCCATATGATTTCCCAGGATACGAGGCAGCCAGTCAGCAGTTTTACGATGCTATACTGGAAATGGGTGGCGTTGTGCAGAGTGTCAGTATCGACGAGGCTCTCATCGATGTCACTGACATTGTCATGGCTGAGGCTGGGTCGAAAAGAGTTGGCATCAGCGAAGGAAGTATATGGAGGGAACAAGAGAAGGTCGATAGGATGGCTTCGAAGCTTCGGGAACGAATCAAGGAGACTACGGATTGTCATGTTTCGGTTGGTATCGGCGGTAACATCTTGCTGGCCAAGGTTGCCCTTCGCAAAGCCAAGCCTGCGGGACAGTACCAAATCAAGCCGGAAGAAGTGTTAGATTTCCTCGGCGAGCTCAAGGTGGAGGACCTCCCAGGCGTTGCGTACAGTATCGGTGCAAAGCTCGAGGAGCTTGGCATCAAATTCGTCAAGGACATACGGCAGACCAGCAAGGAGAGGCTTGTCTCGGCATTGGGGCCGAAAACAGGAGAGAAGCTGTGGGAGTACTCGCGGGGTATCGATCGGGCAGAAGTTGGGGAGCAGCCCATTCGAAAGTCAGTGTCGGCCGATGTGAACTGGGGCATCCGGTTCGTCAACCAAGATGAGGCAGAGGAGTTTGTGAGAAACCTGTCAAAGGAACTGGAGCGTCGGTTATTGAATGAGGGCGTCAAGGGGAAGCATTTGACCATGAAGATCATGAGAAGAGCAGCCGATGCGCCTCTTGACCCACCAAAACATCTTGGTCATGGAAAATGCGATACTTTCAACAAAAGCGTTTCCTTCGGTGTCGCTACCAACAGTGGAGAGGTGATCGGAAAAGAAGCCGTTGCGATTCTGCGCTCGTACAAGTTCAGTCCGGGTGACCTACGTGGGTTGGGGGTCCAGATGACGAAGTTGGAACCCCTGAAGCCGTCTGCTGCACCACAGGGAAGTCAGAAGAAACTGAGTTTCGGTGCAGCAGCGACATCCTCGGCGAAGAAACGAAAGGCTGAGGCCATCGAGGACGATGACCCTCAGAGTCCAGGAAAACCTAGGTCTTCGACCGAACATGACGAGAAGGACCCTATCTCTGCTGATCCTATCACGCCACAGAAACCAAAGCCTCATCCAGCCTTGCATCTCGCAAGAGCTGGCGAGGCGGACGTGAAGGCGAAGACGCCGCTCAACATTAGAGGCACTCAGTTTATCATGCCTTCCCAGCTCGACCCATCTGTTTTGGCCGAGTTACCAGAGGACATTCGGTTGAAGATACAAGAGCAAATGAAGACACAGCTTGTCAAGCGCACATCCTTTGTGCCGCCTCAACCTGTCAGCAGGAAAGCCCTCCCAAATCGGGAAGAGATCCCACCCGACATTGATCTTGAAGTTTTCAACGCTCTCCCGCCAGAAATGAAAGCCGAGGTCCTCGCTTCTTACCGCCGTAACACAGCACAAGCAGGTCCAAGCCGCCAACCACAGCCTCGAGGGGGAGGTGGTGGCGGCCAAACCCTTCTCCTGCAATCTCCTCGCAAAGACCGCATCATCAACCGCCCCGTCGACCGTCTCCGCACGCCCACCAAGCGCAACCGTGGCCGCCCACCAGCCTATTTAAAGGAGAAGGAGCGTGACCTCAGAGCCGGTCTCCGACAAGCCTCCCTAATCACAGCCCGTCCTCCAAACCAGGGTATTAACGAGTCCCGACAACCCTCAGCCAAAATCGAAATCGACCTCCCACCACTAGACCCCGAACTCCTCTCCGAACTCCCCGAAGACGTCCGGCGGGAGGTAATCGAAGACCACGCCCGCCAACGCCGGCAGCTCAAGCGACAGGCTCAAGAGACAGCAGCCGCTCAGCAGCAACAAGAACATAGTCGACACGTCAACCTAATTGCAGTGGACGTCGAGTCAGCCAAACATTACCTCCGGCGACGACAACAGAGTGTCAACAACAACCCTCAGTTTCCAAACCAGCACAATCCGAACCAACCCCACGATGACCGCCAACTTCTACCGGCTGGCCGGCACCACCCTCTCTTCGGCCCTCCGCCAAACTGGGGCCGCACGAACCGCGATCCTCGCCGGATCCACTGGCCCGGTCCTCCCGCCAAAGCGACCTTGAATTCAGCGGCCGTGCCTGAGGGCGGGACAATGAAGGTCACGGACGCGGCGGCGGTGCGGAATATGATCAGGTCGTGGTACGTGTCTACCGACAGTCAAGGGGGGCCGAGTAAGGTCGATATGGAGGTGTTGGAGGAGTATCTGTACAAGGTGGTCACGCTGGAAAGGAATATGGAGAAGGTTAGGGGGTTGGTTAAATGGTTAGAGTGGTGTGTTGAGGGTGGAGAGCAAGATGATTCTGGAGGAAATGGGGATGATAAGTTGGACGGTGGAGTGGACGGCGTAGGCAATGCAGAAGAGGCAAATGGAGAAAGGGGTGGTGATGGTGGTGATGGTGGAAATGATGCTGAAGATGATGGGATGCAGCAAGGTATAAGTGAGAAGAGAAAAGGGAAGATGGCGGCTAAAGCGAACTACACCTGGAAAGAAGCAGTGGAGGTGATCAAGGCTTCTGTTCAAGAAGCTATGAAAGAGAGGGGGTTGGGGAAGATGACTTTCGAGTAAACAATTTCCGACGATGGGGACTACGATGTGGCAAATATTGGGATACGTGTCTGCTTTTCAGCTCTTGGAGTTTGTTGTCCTGGGCTTTTCCGTGTTGAATAGAAGTGATACCCTGGAGATGTCAAGGCGCGAGTGTGTTTCCGTATTTCTTTTCCCTCTTATACCCCGTCGTTACGTTGGAATATCCGCAGAAGATATCCCCTCCAGTGTCTTTCGAGAGTCAGTAAAATCTAGGACTGTGGCCAATACCGTATTCTATCCTGAAAGCAGTAACACCAGCCCGCCTCTCACCTGTCTATCATTCTACTACCTTACCCAACGACCGAAAACATACCTCACTACAGCAAATGAGCAATCACACCTCCGGCAACCACCAACACCAGCCCTAGCACAAGTCCAGCTGACTGACCAGCAGCAGCAACAGAATTGACGACACCATTTAGATCGTAAACCTGTTTCACGGGTTAGCATTGACACGCTTCCCAAGCTCTCGCAGTGGGGGTTACACATTAAACATACGCTGATCCTCAGATCCCCTCCACAGATCTGGCTCTTGTCCCCGTCACAAGCCAACTCGCAGTCAGAATCGGCAACCTTGGAGGAGAGAGAGAAGAGCTGGGTTGCGCACCAACATTCTCTTATGTTTGTCTTCCGGTTAGCTTCATTGCTTGTTAAAATCGTTCTGTATCTTCCCCCGCTCATTTGCAATATCATCGGCCTCCTTCTTTGGCATAAAAAAAACGGCAAAGTCATAACCTTACCTCGAATACTCCAACCCAGCAAATCGATACCCCTTCTCCATTCCACCCTTACAAAACTCTAAACACCTTTCCACTGTCATCTCACCCGGTAACACTTCATTGATCCCGCCATACAACGCCCTGGTCCCGCTGCTGGTTCCTGAGAGGGTGGTGGTCTCGTTGTAGCAGCCGATGTATTTATAGCCGTTTGTTCCGGTTGCTATTGTTGCTGTTGCTGTCTCTGGTGAGGTTGAAGTAGTCTGAGCTGCCACTAGGTTGGCAGTCGATAGGATCGTGAGATAGAAGGCGCAATGGATCAAAAGGTTGGTGGAACACATGCAGCGCATGCGCCTTGATGGTGACGAAAGAGAAGACGGCGGCGACATGTTGACGTGCAGATATGAAGTGTAACACAACACAATGTACGGGCGTTGCGTAGGAGGAAACCGACCGTTGATGACGGTATATTAGTGGTTGACGCGTGCTGAAGTCGTGAAAAGGGTGAGCGAACAAAAATTGCAATGACGCGACGTGATAGACACTCGACAGCCGAAAAAGTAATCGGAAAACACCAATCAAACCAGAGCAACGGAGGTCGTTAGTACTGTTTCCGATTCAAATACCGCGTGAAGAAAGAATCGGAAAGTGGAGGGAAGAGGAAAACACAAACACGAGGAAATTACGATCCAACGTCCTTCTTCTTTGAAATGTCCAGGGTCCAAACAGTCAGCCGCAAAACCTCCAAATCCAGCCAATCGCTTCCTCTTCTGTACTGGTCAGAATTATAAAGATGATAATACGCAATGAGTAGAAGCTGTAATATTCGAAGAACCCTTCCACGACAAGAGAGGGATGAGCCGAGAGCTGAAGACAGGGGTCTAAGCACCACAACCTCACCAACCGCGCCTTGAATAAATATGTATGTCAGATTGCGACGCTGACACATATCTCTAGGTAGGTATCTACATCCGCATAGAATTTTGAGAAGATAAGATTTTACCTACGATTTCCTGCACGAACCACCATATGAAAAATGCCACCGGAGTTTTGTGTTAAATTTATGCCAACACTTTGGAAGGGAAAAAAAGTCATTCAGGTCAGAATATTGCCAAAAATATTGCCCCTCTCGAGGCTTTATGAGGGTTTTCCCAACCATACTTTAATGATGACATTCGCCAAACGACAAACAGCCGAACAGTTGAACATACTCGCGTGGTTCAAAATCCCAGTTGCCTGCCAGCCGGTCGCGTCCCACGCACCTGCCGCCCAGTGTTGTGCCTTCGTTACAGCTCCTGTCCTTCATGCGACCTTTGAACCTAAGAATATAACGGTGACTTGGTTATTCCTCCTTCCAACAACAACCGCTTGGTCAGATGGATGGCGGAGTGGTCTAGATACCGTTTGAGTCTCAAAAACTCAATACTTCTACCTGTCCGTATCGGGAACGGTTGTGTGCGAAGACACGTAAAGGGGTCACCGCACACTCCTGGTACCTAGTTCCTATGGTAGTAGCTGGTCTACCTATGTGGTATCTGGGAACGCTCCAGTCGACAGAAGTCATCTATATGGTATCGAATAAACTTGGATGGACCACTTTTTGACCTCATCGGGATTTGCGGTTGTTGGTTTTTTTTTTTTGGTCAAGTTCATACCTGTCACGCAAGCCGACATTTTGAACAATCAATGTACACTGTCCTGATTACCAACCGGAATAACATACAGTAAGAATACACCTGCCTCACCAAAACAGCAACCTAGCAGCCACCCCTCCTCCAACCGCCACCGCCAGCCCCATTGCAAACCGAGCCGACTTCCTAGGAGCAGGAGCAGAGTCTGAATCTTCATTATCTGCACCTTCGAGCCCATATATCTGTGTGTTTCCACGCTTCATTAGCACTCGCGCAAACCGGTAATCCCCTGGTGGAAAGTTTCCTCCCGGTCAATGAGATAAAAGGAGGTAGCACGAGAGGGACAGATAATTTGATATATGACGATATGTTGGGTAGATAGGTACACATACACCAAGCCTCAGATATCCTCCACAGAGCTGGGTCTTGTCCCCGTCACAACGCTTGTTGCATTCGAGATCCGAGACGAGGACACCGGAGTCAGAGTTGAACTTGGACGCACACCAGCATTCTTTGTTTTTGGGTGGAATGACGTTTCGAAGTTTTTTTTAACGAGTTAGCCGGGTGTTTACAACATTGTGCTACGAGACGATTAGGTAGGTAGGTAGGGTAGAGGGTATTTTTTCCGTTTCTTCTTTATTTCCTCTTACTTGTTTCCTGATCGCTAAGAAGGTGAAGAACGGTAGCAACAAGAATATAAAAAAATTAAAAAAAGGAGGAAAAAACAGAAATCCTCAAATCGAAACTCATCACTACCTAACCTCGCATTCTCCAACCCAGCAATCTTATACCCCTTCCCCTCCCTCCCGCTCTTACAAAACCGCAAACACTTTTCCGCCGTCATCGTCCCCTTCATCTCCTCGTGAATCCCGCCGCCGGGCTCCTCGATGTCCAGCGCCTTGCGCCCAGCTATCGGGTCATCAAGTGCCCCGGCGCTTTCCTGCCAGAAACCCATGTATTTGTAGCCGTCTGTTCCGGGTGCTGGGGTTGGCCATTCTGATGTCGATAGGACGGGGGTGTATGTTAACGAAGTTAAGGAAGCGGTCGCGTTGGTGGTAGTGGTGGTTTCCAGTTGCGCTGTTACTTGTGCTTTATTTACCGCCGCGATGAGAAAGAAGACGCAGAAAAAGAATTGAGTGAGTGAATGTGGCTTGTTGAACAGTTGAGATCGTGCACTGCAGCTGGATAAAGTGTGTTTGACATACAGAAGTTTGTAGACGTCGAAAGCAGGGCAAGACAGTGCAGGTCCTGGAAAATAATTTATACAAGGTAGGTAGAAATGTTCCAAATCGATGTATGTCATCAGTCCTGCAATGGGAAACCCAAGAAATAAGTAGTCCCAGTCAGGGAGGAAGAAGAAACACAAACAAACAATAGGAAGATCAAGACCCAATTCAGACAGCTACTGTGCAGTCATTCAACGAGTGGCACAACTTACCTATGTACATACGGTAGTAAGAGATTCAGCCAATAATTGCCAGTTGCCACTGTGATGACGCAGATGGCGATGACAACTAACAATAACAAACGGGATGACGGGAACACAACAATTTAACTACGGGAATAGGCCACACCGACGAGCTGACCGAGCTGAATAATGTAGTTGGCTCGAGTCATCTGTCAGTTTCAACTATCTACCACTAGTGTACACTACACAGGGCATATATATAAGTTGGGGGCTGAAAACCGGGACCTTTGACAATCTTGTTAACCGCACCTTCAGCATACCTACCAACAAATGCAACAATAACGCATCAGGGTTATACAGATACAATTTGTACTAAGCTGTGACGGCATCAATATAAGATTTTCTCCCTAACAGGCTACTGATCGTCGGGAACTTCTACTCTACTCTACTTTAGTGGCTCAGTCATGAACATTCTAGTCAGCAGTTCACTCCACCTACCTCGTGTACTCGGAAACTTGCTTCTAGTTCTAAAACCAAGTGACGAGGCAGGTCGGTACTTAATCACTGTGCATAGAATAGCATGATCAAACTAATTGCTAACATACAATTCGCTATAGTCGCTTATGATTCGTTCCATGTTCTGTTTATCGCTGATACTGAACTGCCTTCGCGGAACAAAAAGTCGGGCTATCTTCACTCGTTGATACAAAATGAACTCTGTTGGCAGAGCCACTGGAGGAAAAAAGCTACTCTTAAGCTTCTCACCCGTGGTTTGGGTGATGGGCCACAGCAATCTGGCAGAAGTTCAACGGTCATCAACTCATTCTGCGCCTTCTGGACGCCAGGTCCGGCACGATCTCCTCGAGAGAGACATCGTCGTCCACCCCCGCCATTTGGTCAGTTGGAAGACCATGACATGCTCCCTCACCTCTTGGAGTTTTTATTTACCCATGTCGTTACCAGGGTACACGCAAGCATGATAGAGAAAAAAATTGGAATTGACTGGAACAGAAAAATTGTTGTCAGCAGCGAGCTGTCCGAAGGAATCAGTCTCCTGACCAAGTAGTTCTCTGGCTGAGCTGCGTGATTAAGAATCTTAACCCTGAGAGAGTGCACTTTCACTTCGATGATATATTTCTGACAATCCGTAAGCGTTAGCGCAGTGCTACGGCTGAGAGAAGGAGGCTTCCAAATGAATGACTTACTGCCTCCTTTATCCGCTCTAGGTATTCATTCGTTCTTGCACAAACCCAGGCCGTGCGAAGAACAACTCCGTCCCATGGTCCGAGGCTGGGAGTCGGCATTGTCCTTGTGATCTGTAGAGGGAGAAGTTAGTATTCAAACTGGAAAGGTCCCAACGTCAGCAGGTTGTCAGTCCGAATCCTCACCTCCGCTGTGAACTTCTGGTAGCGACTTCAGGACTGTGTTTCCGGGTCATATCTGTCATACTGGGTAGGAACCCAAGGGTGCAAGATAGAGAGCAACGTCCCGGTTACGGCCATGGTCAATGTAGGCGCCGCGGACGTCGCTTGGCCACTTTCCAGGGATTGGGAAGCCGGCGCTGAAACGGGGCGACATTGGAGGGCGTCCCAGGGACAACTGGGTTAGTATTCTTTTACCCATTCCTCCAAGTAGCCCGATGAGAATCTGAATTAGAAGTCGGGATGCAAGAATAGACGATTTTTCCAAGGGAAAAATGATTGGGATCTTAGAATCCCAAGTTGGCTGGAATATGAGCAGGTGAACTGGTGCTGGCAAAAAACTGGAACAACTGTCCTGGCTGACAAAGGGAAGGACGGAGTTCAGGTAGGGTGCCTCCCAGGACATCGGTCCGTAATTGGGGAAAATTTGAAGATAGCATCGAGCTCAGCACAGAGCATATCCCAATCCTTGATCTCGTCATCACCATTGACCCTGAAAGCGCCAAGGACATGAGACTCAAGGTTGGAGGCCCACGATACTACAAGCATCTTGCGGTGGATCCGGGCAATGGTACCTACAAAGAAATACTGCATAGTCAGATGTCCGACTACCAAGTTTGGAAGTTCCCCGCGAGCTTGTTCCAGAAAGCCCAGCCGTCCACTCTTCCGAGGTGAGATTCTGAGTGGAAAGGCACTCTAGGACTGCTTAATACCCAAGCAATGAGGACATATGCCAGACAGTACTGACGAGAAGTAGGAGTAGGACTCCTAATCAGAACCCGCCAGACTAAAGTTCAGCCAAACAATCTCGGCACCACTGGCAGATTTCGCAATAGACGGGTGTCGGATCCGACACTGCGGCATTTGTCGCCGCTGGTGCCTCGGAATGCATAATGGGAGGAAGTCGCATGAAATCGTCGGCTAATTTGTTCAACAGTTGTCTCATTGAACGCCACTGCTCACTCGCGTCAGCAGTTCTGCCCAGGGCAACAATATAGCGCTCGCTCGCTTCCTTGAGAGCAATGAGATCGGTAATCTGCACGGGATACTCCCAGAGTGAACGGAGTGATGGTTGGGGATCGCGTTCTCCGATCAGGCGCTGCCGATGTTCCTCATGGGTGTTGGCGATACCATCAAAGGTGAGGGTGGTCTCGGAACCATCGTAGCGCAGATGAGAAGTGAGGTCAAAGTCCGGCATGCGATCCCGGATTTCTTGCTCATCTGGAGACTCGGGCGCTCGTCGATTTTCAACCGAAGGCTTGTCCAGGCGACGAACGTAGTCGATCAGCTCGTCCGCATCCTTCATCCTTTGCCCGTGCCTCACAAGCTCAGTGTCAAAGCGCCAAGTATGCTCCTCATATAGAATGGCAGCTGCATCCATCTCCGTTGACCGCCAAAAGGCTTTGCAGCTGCGAAGGCGCCATCGAAAAGCGGAGCAGCCCTTGGCCCGCATGAAACAGACAGAGCACAATGGTATGTCGTAGAGGCCGGCGCCTTGAATAAAGACGCTGAGCAACTCTTTTCTCCCAGGCTCAGCGCCCTCGGACATGCGAAATAGTGTTCGCACAGGCAAGATGTCCAGGGATTTGCATTTGAAGCACTTGGGCGTGGCGGACTTGGGTCCGTGGACTGAGGGGGGTGGCGTTTTCGGTGGTGTTGGGAGAGCCTCCTGTGACGAGGATTCCTGTGAAGATGGTTTCGATGAGGGGGTTTCCCTTAAGGAGGGTTCCGGTGAGGCGGGTTTCGGTGAGGCGGTTTTCGGTGGGGAGAGATCCTCTGGGGAGGATTCCGCTGCGGTGGGCGGAGAAGGATCCATGATCACTGTCATGAACAGTTAGTATCTCCGTTGAAGACAATCAGATGTAGTGTCAGGGAATAAGGGAGAGTAGGACGGGCGAGAGTGTTGGTTCTCAAAGCCGTGTGGCTCGAAGAACCGAGGGAGAAAGGTCATGAGGCGAGGAGAACTGACCTGGATGATAATGCCACAATTGTAGAAGGACGAAAAGATGAAGAGAAAACGATGTGATGATGATGCCAAAAGCTTTGAAGATGATTTGTAAGATGTGAATGTCACGGATTAACAGAAGGGGGAGACGACCAGGATGCGGGAGAAGAGGGAGGTTTAAGTACTCGAGGGACGAGGAACTCCGGCAGACGGGAGCGATTATATAAGAAGGAGAGATATGCAGTATGTCCTTCCCTACCTTATGCTTAACTGTCTCTTGTCGTGCTGAAGCATGTAAAGAGGTCGAAGTAGCAGCAAGCAAGAGAAGACAGTCTACCTTCTGCGGTGAAGCTGGCAGGAAGATTTCTCGAATAACAGAGCACTCACCAGTTGAGCTCTGTAGCATGATATTGTCGGCGATGTTCTTTCTTCATGGAGGTAAGGTCGAATGGTAAGGTGACCAGACCGACCTGCAATGAAAGTATGAGACGATGAACTGGCAAGACTCAGGCAGCCATCCCAGTTTGAAAAGAGGGAAGGCCTCTGGCAACCACTCATTTTGTGTCAGCTCGTCAAGGTTGGTCGGGTAAGCGCGAATTCTGCCAGAAGCAAGCCCCCCGGGCCCGACATGGGTAACGCACCACTGCAGAGCATCTTCCGGTTTGGAAGTAGCAAGAAGATACTGCAGTCTGCAATGTCGGCCCTACCTGGAGCCCACAGGGTGGATATGGTACCTGTCCGAGTCCCAGGTTGACAGCTGGAAGTTCATTCAATATGCTTATTATTACCTGACCGACCCGAGCAATACGTGATGCTGGGTTTCGGCATGGTTAGAGATCTCGATTTCCTAAGTCTCTGCGGTGTGACGGGAATTACCGATTCAGCACGTGGCTGTGTAAAGAATGTTAAGTCGCTGCCTCTAGCACGATGGACTATTGCTGTCTGACCAGATCGTCAGACACATGGAAGTGAAAGTGCCCGTGAAAGTTGATGCAAGATGTTCACGGTGCGCGGGTGTCATACATGGAGAGTGGAGAAAAAGGGATGGGAGACATGGAGAAGGTGAAGAGAGCAAAAAGGTGAGAAGGCAACTTTAAGCCGAAGAGAGGTGAGGAGAGACGGGGACGACGGGGTGATGAAGCTGGCTACAAGAAGATGTCACGATGCAGCTCATGCAGAAGGGCGAAAAAGAGGGACAGAGAGCAAGTGAACGGAGAATGAGTAGACAAGCCGGAGAGGTGAGAGGAGAAGGTAAGAGACAGCAAGATGGTGAAAATGGAAGCCACAAGCTACCCAAGTTTGATGAGTGACGTTCATCGATCTCCACTTGACATTTGTCAAGGCAGGTGGTACGAACGAACAGCTTGCTTTCTGTCTGGATAGATTCTCTGGCCCAGCCAGGTTCATACCCGCCTTCCGTACGGCCCCTTCGTAACTGCCTCGACAATTGTCCCTAATTTGACTCAATGGCTTGACCGCCTAGGCCGCAGTCTTCTGGATCATATTTCTGCCACCAAGTAAGGAAGGTACGTATTTGCACATTTCTTGTTGCCACAGCCTCGATCTCGACCCAAAAAACGATGCAGACTGAGCTGGTCAACAGCGAACAAGTTGGTCCATGTGCATTGCACACAGATGTGACTCGTGCTCCTGTAAACAACGAGTCCCTGTATGGTAGGCATGTTTTGACAAGACTGGGAAATTCAGAGTCATGGTTAAACAACACGACAGGCCCAACAGCAGGCAGGTCTGTTGCGCAGTACTGAGTGGCGATTTACCTCTTGGGGTTACTTCTTTCATCTCAACCGCTCAACCAGGGGCGGCCACCCTGTCATGTTCCGGGTTGCGATATCTTTAGTTCCAGTTCTCACTGCTATACTGCTCATCGATCGCTCTTCGCTCCGCGCTGGCCTCCCCAGCTTCCCACCAACTTCATCGCCTTCTCTCCGCCTCCCTCTAACCTCTCATCCTTCAACGCGCCCGCCAGACAATGCCAAGGGTCTCTGCTACCACCCCACTTGAGCAGGTTCTCCTTCAACCTCTCTCCATTCTCTCTTTGCAGCGCAGCGCCGCCTTGTCCACCATTGAAGACAACATTCCACACCCTCTGAGCCAAGACTCGGTCGAAGAGGTAGCTGTAATATGTGCTGCCATATCCGACCAGGTGACCAAAGAAACCCTGCCATGCCGTTCCCTCAGGGTCAGGTGGCGCGGTGCTGTACTGTCTCTGCAGGCTGTGGAAGACTTCGGTGGAGTCGATGTGGCCTTGCAATGCCTTGGACGAGTGCAACTCCTGATCAAGCATGGCAAGAATGATTTGGTTTTCGGTGTCCAGCGCCTCGAAGCGACGGGCCTCGCGGATCTTGTTGTCCACCCATTCGTACGGCAGGGGGGTGTCGGTCTCGTAGTGGCGTGCGAACAAGGCAAGAACAGACGGGTCAGCGGCAAAGTACTCCATCAATGTAGAAGGAAGCTCGGCAAGATCAGTGGCGCATCGGGTACCGCTGACGTTCTGGAAGGAGGTGCGGGCGAGGATGGAGTGGATAGCGTGACCCATCTCATGGAAGAGAGTCTCGAGCTGGAAAAAGGACAAGAGGGCGGGCCGGTTGTGGGCTTGCTGGGGGAAGTCACAGACAAGAGCGATAGTGGGAAGCTGTTTGATCGTACCGTCCTGCGAGCGAGAGTAGGCCATGCCATCATTGGCAGCAAACTCGGCAGATTCGAAGGAGGGAATCATAACACCAGGGTTTTCAGCTTGGGTATGGGTAGTCTCAGCAATCTCGGAAGGCGACAGCTCACGCGAGCAGCGAAGAGTGAAGTGAGCTGGGTTGGGTGACTTGAGAGGGCGGTAGAAGAGGTCGCAGTATAGAACGGCGACATGGCCTTCAACGTCCGAGACAACATCCAACCGGCGCACATCGGGGTGCCAGGTCTCACCAGGCATGGGTTCGCGGGGAACGAAGCGAATACCGTAGAGACGAGTGAATATCCTGGAGAGACCTTGCATGACGGTGCCGAGGGAGAAGTATGAGGACAAGTCTTCACGCTTCTGCCGGGACTTGATAGCCTGACGGATGGACTCGGCGTAGAAATCCTTGTCCCATGGTTCAAGTGTTGCGTCCTCACCCTGATGGGCCCGCTTGGCTGCCGTGAGATCGGCCACCTCCTGTTGCGCTTGAGGTCTGGTGTTTTCGGACAGAGCCTGAAGGAACTGTCTCACAGATTCAGGGGTACTGGCCATCATACGGTCATGGAGGACGAGGTGACCATAACTCTCGAAACCTGAAAGCTTCGCCGACTCACCACGCAACAACATGAGCTCCTCCAGCAAACCGACAGTCCTGCGGGAAGCGGTGCGAGAAGCCATGAATAGTTGCTGTCGGGCTTGCTCATCGCGAACGGCACGGAGTGCTATTGAGGCCTGGGGGCTCAGAGTTTGGACGTACACTCTGCCCATAGAACTCATCCTCTTGACCTCCACGGGATCCATGCCCATCATCCTGGACTTTTCAATGGTAGTGTATGGAAGCTTAGGCTCCATGTGCTGGATAAAGTTGGTTCCAGTCTGGCTGATTGCCGACGATAGCTGGACGAACTTGTCCCGGGCGTCCTTGGGCAAGTGAACGGCGGATTTGGCAAAGTCGAGCTTGAGGACTTCGGCCACCATCCTTTCCTCCTCAGACCAGGTGGAGCTAACATCAGGGTTGTCCATTGCCTTGACCAATTGGTCGTACAACCCCGTCATGGTGTTGAGCTGGTTCATATACTCGTACATCATATCCCAGGCTACCGAGGCGGTACTCTGGATGGCCTGGTCAGGGTGGGTGACGCGCACAAAGTCGGCCATGTCCAAGACGCGACATAGTATATCACTTAGGCGATCGAGATGGCGGACAACGGCGCGGTATTCGTCGAGGGATTGGGCGTTGATGACCTTGTCAACCAGGGCGCGAGCCTTTCCCAAGCTCACTTGGGCAAAGTCGAGGAAGCCATGGGGGCTGGTGAGGTATGCGTTGCGGAAGAGGCCGACATTGCGACCGTATTTGTCACCGGAGAACTGCTTCCATGTTTCGGGCGAATCGAATATGGATCGTAGAAGGGAGTCGTCGTGCTTTGCGCCGCCGTTCTCGTGAGTGACGGGGGTGGTGCCTGTCAAGATCTTGGGAGCTTGCGCAGTAAAGCCCGTGAATCGTCGTCGTGGCTGTCTTGGCAGAGGAGAGGGAGTGGTACGTCGTAGAAGGCAGTTGGAGCAGACCCAGAGACGGGGCCTGCTGGCTTTGACCAGCGGCTGTATCATGGTGTCGAGATGTCGACTGGGTTTGGAACTCGAAGAAGGAGGAGGACTCGGCTATAGTCGCTGGGTCGGTAATGGGTTGTGGATGGCGGGGTGACCACGACTTGAATTCGTCTAAGAGGCAAACATGTGCTGCGAAGATTGTGTCGTGAATGCTATATGAAGCGGTCGTAATATGTTGGTGATACAATTGGCGACAGGAAAGTGACCAAGTCAGGAAGTTAAAACGGAAGAAGCATCCTACAAAAGTTGACGATGGGATGGAATTAATTCCTGTACCGCTGTAAAGGTACGTAACGGTGACCCCGCCAAGAGTCGAGATCCCCAGGCCGCGGCGGGAACCCCACCACGCCCACAAGCCGCGACCGCAGCGACCAGGGGCAGAAAAAGCAGGAAACAAAGTTCCGAGTTCCCGGAATTTACCGTAACGATACGGGTACCGCAGCTGTACCTTGACAAGCTTGGATTGAATTGGACTTTTTGCGGCGGCCTGGACTTGCAATTGCGCAGTGGACACCCGGAGACTCTTTGGTTGACAGTCGACCGATTGACATTCCTCCAACTGCCCTCATCCCAAGCTCCATCTCTTTCGCCAGCTACCTTACCTACCCACCCCTCCCCCCTCCCCCTCCAGCACCCCGACGCCGTCTCTCTTTTCTAGGTCAATTGGGTTGGATAATGGCTGCCAGACTTGCTTTCCAGCGGGTGAGCCGACCTTTTTCTTATTCCTCTATGCGACTCCCATGTCTCTCTGCATCATCACATGTGCTGCGTCATAAGGTAAACATGGACTCTGTATACGGACTCATGCTAACCTGACCTCAACCTCAACAGCGCGCCGCCCGGGCTACTGCCGCCGCCCTCGTTGGCTCCTTTGCCCTCATTCCCACGGTCGCCTTCGCCGAAGCCTCCGAGAGCCGTGCCTCTGTACGTGTTCAACCCGATGCCGTCCTCCATCCATATTCGCGCTCGCTAACCGACGTCATAACCTTTGCCGAACCATAGGCCAGAAAGCCCATCTACGACGATGACTTCGACGCTGTGCCATCCACCACTCCCTCCTTCACCACCGCCGAGACCACCACAAAAGACGTCAGCTCTCCCGCCTCTGCCACCCTAAACGCCCCCGTCACCAAGAGGGCCCCCGGCGACAAGAAGACCTTCACCGATAGCCTCATCGACGTCCTCGCCAGCACCAACACCCCCCGCGGCCCTACCCCCACCGATCGTCTGGCCGCCCAGATCCGCCGCGCCCGCCTCTTCCTCTACGACCAAGCCTGCGTCGCCGAGGATGCTGTCAACAACGGCATGGCTCGCGCCTTCGACCTCGAGCACTCCTTCACCTCCACCGTCGCCGGTCTTGCCCCTCCCCGTGAGACCGGCGAGCGCCTCATGCCCGGTCTCATCTACGTTCTCGTCTCGGGTATGGCCGGCAGCATTGTTGCGCGCAACCGCGGCGTTGTCCTCCGTGGCGCCACCCCTCTCGCCCTCGGTCTCGGCGCCGCCTGGGCCGTCCTCCCCGTCACCATGAACAACGTCAGCGCGCTTGCGTGGAAGTACGAGCAAAAGTTCCCTGCCGTGGCGGATGCGCACATCAGGACCCGCGAGGGCATCGAGAAGGGTATTCACATGGCCAAGGTGCACACTGAGATTGCGCACCAGAAGGTCGATGAGGCGGTTACCGGCGTGAGGGAGACGGTTGAGGGATGGGTTCGCAAGGGCAAATAAATTATTTCATCAGCGTATCTGCTCCTAGAGAAATGGGCGGACCAACAAGAGGAGACGATACGATATGGAAAAATGAACGAAAAAGTGGGCACATTGGTCGGTCGGTGACCTGTGTGGTGACCTATGTGTTTGTTGTGTGTATATGTATTAGGTAGAGCTGGGCAATTCCAAAGTGAAGAGCGGAAAATAGAGATCGTGTTAAGCTTCAGGCCCTGGAGGGAGTTCCTCTGCCATATATATTTTACGATATTCATCACTTTTTCAGTGGGAAGAAATGCAGAATCGTATACTGACTGACTGGTATGACATCTATCCTCCCCGAAAATTGATGTTTATTTTGTTAGCGTCACTCAGGGGCTGTTTCTCAGTCTTGGCATGCGTTCCGATTTGGGAAATTATTGGCCTGTACAATGCATGTCAGCAGCGAAGGATGGATGAGTCGACTTGAACACTCTCACTTTCCCATTTCAACATCACTCAACAATCAACCTGAAGAGTCACTTCAAGGTCCAGTTTCCAAGGTTTTCATCACAATATTGCTTTCGGCATCTATAGACGCAACTTTATCTCCGGTCCAGGACGCCCAATGAGGCACAGTCTCCCGCAAACTAACGGAAGCAACGGCATCAAAGTAGCTTCTATCGGGGACTATACGATCTCCGTTTTGTCTGCCTAAAATAAGGGGGTATTATATATATGGAGTCATAACGACAACACAAAAGCATCACTCATCGCTCTTTACTTTGGTCTTCCTGATTTTTGTTCTCATTCTATTTATCGGGCCATATCACTCGCCTCGACACACTCGACACAAATGAAGTGACCAGCCTTACAACCACATCAATCAACCGACCAAAAGTGGTCACACAACCACAACCGCAACCACCATCACCATCACCATCACCATCATGGCTCCCCTAGCCAGCGAACCTCGCCAAATGCGAGTGGTCCTCAACCTTCCCAAGCGCAAAGCTGTCTACACCCTCGTCGTCGAAATCACAGATTGGATGCGATCCCAGCTTCTTCTCAAAAATCCCAACCAGGCCAACTACAACAACACCTCCCGCCAACCCATTTCCGGCAGCGGCGGCCACTCCCTCCTCGGCGATCTTGACGACAGCTATAACCGAAGCCAAAATGGTCCCCCCTTACCTTCCAGACCCAGCCCCGGCGGCACCAGCAACAACCCACGCTCCCACTCCGGCTACAACACTGGTAGTGGAAGCGACCGCATCACCCCCCTCCGCACCGCCACCCTCGCCCACTTCGACACCTGGCGCACCGCCCTCCTTTCCTCATTAAAAGACCTTCTCACCCCCGCCGACACTTCCCAGGAAATTTCCTCCCGGCAGGAGCGCTCCGCTCGTCTCGCCCGTCTGAAAGTCGACTCCCCCGCTCCCGGCGAGAACCTGATTGACTTCGGCGACCTGTTAGGTCCCGTCGCCGCCGCTGAGGACGGAAAAGCTGTCGCCCTGCAGAAAAGAAAGAAAGAAGTTGAGGCTTTACAAACCCGTTACCACGCCATCCCCACCCGTCTGCTAACGATCACGCAAGAAGACCGCGAGGAAGTCGTGGTTTGTCTTTTGTTATTGTTGCTAGCGGCTAGTGGGAAGTATCAAGCCGAAAGCAGGACGTTTTTGGTTTATCTGTGCTCTGCCCTGGAGCTGCCGCTTTCGTTTTTGAATGGACAGGAGGCCGAAGTCGCTACTTCCCTTGTTGAGAGCTCCAAGTCTCCTGAAGCTCAGCAAATGTCAGCTGCTAAAGAAGCCGAAGAGCGGAAGAAGGCTAATCAGACGGGAAGGATGTGGAAAGTTGGTCTTGCGAGTGTCGCAGGGGCGGCGATTATTGGTGTGACTGGTGGACTGGCGGCGCCGGCTGTGGCGGGTGTTATTGGCGGCTTGATGGGCAGTGTTGGACTGGGCGGCGTGGCGAGTTTCTTGGGTGTGTTTTGGATGAACGGTGCGTTGGTAGGAACGCTGTTCGGTGCGCTGGGCGCGCAGATGACGGGCGAGATGGTGGATCAGTATGCGCGGGAGGTTGAGGACTTTGCTTTTTTGCCGTTGTCTTCTTCCTCTACGAACCAGGAAAGGCTGAGGTTGACGATTGGCATCAACGGGTGGTTGACCGAGTCGCTGTCTTCTTTGACGCACCCCTGGCAAGCGCTGTCGCCGAAATCGTCCAACTTGTTTGCTCTCAGGTATGAAGTCGCGGCGATGCTGAACCTGGGCAATGCTCTGCGGACAATGGTCACCAGCGCGGCGTGGACGTACATCAAGGTAGAACTGCTCAAGCGCACGGTGTTGGCGACGCTGTGGTCTGCTCTTTGGCCGATTAGCTTGCTGTCCATGGCCTCGGCGCTTGATAATCCCTTTTCGCTGGCGAAGAACCGGTCTGAGAAGGCGGGCAAGATCCTTGCGGATGCCCTGATTAATCGCGTCCAGGGCGAGCGGCCCGTTACTTTAATCGGGTATTCTTTGGGCGCAAGGGTTATCTACTCTTGCTTGCGCACACTAGCGGAGCGAAGGGCGTTCGGGCTCGTCGACGAGGTCATTCTGATCGGTGCGCCCGTGCCAAGCGACAGGGATGCGTGGGAGATGATGAGGAGCGTGGTCAGCGGCAAGCTTTGGAATGTGTGCTCGGGAAACGATTACCTATTGGGATTTATTTACCGGACGAGTTCCATCCAGCTGGGCGTGGCGGGATTGCAGGAGATTAAAGGGATTGAGGGCGTGGAGAATCTGGATCTGACGGGGACTGTCAAGGGACATATGCGGTATCCGGAGATCTTGGGCAAGATTCTGGAGAAGTGTGGTGTGGAGATTAAGGATGGGTTTGGAGGCGAGATTGAGGTCGAGCAGGACCTTACGAGAGAGGAGGAGATTGTTTTGGCGGATATGGAGGCTCAGGGAAAGATTCCTGCCTCTGCTCCTGCTACAAAGAAGGGGAACCATGGAGGCGGGTTGATTGACTTTGGGGAAGATGAGCCTCAGCAGCAGCATCATGCTCCGCCGCCGAGGTATGGAGTGATGGATCCGCATGCTTCTTCCTCGAGGCCGGTGATGAAGCAGCAGCAGCAGCAACAACAGCAACAAGCACCGCCGCAACCACCGAGACCTCAACCTCAACGGAATACAATGACCAGCAGCAGCAACCCCCTGGGCAACTCTGGCTCATCGTCATCAAAGCCCGCGGATGATGACTTCTTCAGCCAACTCCTTTCCGGCCCATTCTACAAGTCCAAGTCTACCAGTACTGCTTCCACCCGTCCCTCATCATCAAACATCGCTTCCGCCCAGGGTCAGAGGCCCCAACCACCCCTCCGCCCCCCGACATCCGCATCCACATCCTCCGCTTTATCCGACTTGACCGCACTCTCCATATCTCCTCAGAAACCCGCCTCTCCCACCACCATGGCCACGACGGCCTTCCCCTCGCAACCCTCGCAACCCTCAAAACCATCCACCTCAACCTCAACCTCAACATCAACCTCGAAAAAGAACCCCCACCTCCTCGCCACCCTCCTCCTCCCCTCAGACCAACAACAAAAACCCCTTGGCCGCTCAACCACCACATCCACCGGTTCCGATTTCTCTGCCGTTCGCGAAGTGCCGGCTATTCAGCGCGCTAATACTGCGCCGCCGAAACCGGAGATTCCCAGGGATATTCCACTTGTCGGTACCAGCAGCGGTATTAGCGGCGGTATCAACAGCGGTATCGGCGGTATGCTGAGGCCTTCACTCCCGCAGCAGTCCAAGTCCGAGCCAGTTGTCCCAGTGGTGGTGGATGATAGTGATGATGAAGGGTATGGAATCAAGATGGTTGATAATGATAGTGATGGGGAGTTAGAGTTTGCGGAACCTATTCCTATGAAAGAGAATGAGGAACATGGGTATGGTGGTTGGAGATGAGAAGGTAGAAGGGCAGGAAGAGATGGCGTAGGGGTTTTTTGGACGAAAGGGGGGGGGGGGGGGGGGGGAAAGAGTTGGGTCTATCGTGATGGTTGAAAAAGGGAGAAATAAAATGAGAAGCTGAAAGGAATAAACATACCGCGAGTGTGAAAGGAAACGGGGGGCAACTTTATATGACGGTCTCCCAAGGTAACTTTAGTAGTAATGAAAACATTCAGCTTGGCTCATCGGCTTCGTAGGTACCACTTTGATTTTGCAACACCTAGCTTTTTGGCCTCCGGGTGCGCACATTCAATAAACCATTACGAGAATCGTAAGGACAATTGCATCCTCGCAGTCCACTTGACGTCATAACACCCTCCGACCACTTTTTTTTCTTCTTTTCTTCCCTTTTTAGTGTTGAGACCCGATTAACTGATGTCAGCATGATGGCCACTATTTCCCCTGTTAACAGCTGAGCAAATAGCAGCCCCTACTTCTGTCAAGAAAACATCTCCTGTCTCTTGATATCACGCTTTTCATGCTTTCAATCGGCAGTGGACAATCAGTAGAAATTCGAGGATGAAAATATGTAATCACAGAGACAAGATAGACAAGAAGACGACAAGACTAACTGACATTCAGAACACATGAACTCCGTTATTTTCCCTAGGTACTAAAAACTATCAAAGGCGCCTTTTTGACAAGATGGACGCAGCTCCCCAAACTACAAAAACTGCAGGTATCATCTCTATCTATACCGTAATATTTGTCTCACAAAAACATTCACATTCCAAACAGCAGCGGAGAGATACTTTACTCGTCATCCTCATCCTCCTCCTCCTCCTCTTCATCATCGTCGCCTTCCTCCTCATCATCATCATCCTCAGCAAGATCATCATGATCCTCCTCCTCCTCTTCGCTGTCGGTCTCCTGAGCTTGCTTACCCAACCTCTCCTCCTCCTCATCTTCCTTCCTCCTCAGCTCATCCTCCTTCCTCGCCTCCTCCATCATCTTCCTCTTCTCGGCCCTTATCTTCCTCTGACTAACGACAAACGCGCCCAGCGGCGTCTTCTCCCACTCAAAGTCCCTGAGGAAGGCGTCGACCTGGGCGCGGTCGTTGGGCGCGAACTCGACGCGGTTGCGCTTGTCCTCGATGAACTTGGCGTTGGACTCGATCTTCTGCACCAAAAGGGCAAGCTGCGTGCCGATCTTGCCGTTGTTGTTGCCCGACGACTTCTTGCGCGAGTCCTTGAGCCAGCGCTTGAGGGCGACGACGACGGGAAGCGAAAACTCGGGGAAGGCGATGTTGCGCGACCAGAGGACAAAGTACTCGCCGAGCAGCTCGATGACTTGCTCGCCGAGACCGTCCTGGTAGACGCGCGTGCGCAGGTAGGATTTGGGCGCCTTGTAGGCGGTGGCGAAGTCGAGCGGCTTGAGGGTGGACGACTTGGGAGGCTTCTTCATCTCGGCGGAGTTGAGGACTTCGAGGAGGATGGAGGCCAGGGGGATGTAGGTGTCGGTGGCACGGGAGAGACGGAGCAAGGAGCGGATGAGCTGGAAGCGCAGCGGGAAGTAGAGGGCCGTGGGGATGAGGCGCATGGCGCCCAGGGTGACTTGCACCAGGGGGTAGATGAGCAGCTTGAGCTGCGACTCCTTGCCGGCTTCGGCCTCCTTGAGGGGGGAGCAGTGCTCGGAGAGCACGCACGACCAGAAGTCGAGCGAGTGCACGTACTGCCAGTTGTAGACGTTGCGGAAGGCGTTGTTCTTGTTGTTGACGATGGAGTTGCGCAGGTGGATGGCCAGCTGGCGGATGAAGCCGAAGGCGGTGGTGTAGCCGAGGGTCTGGTCGAGACCCCAAAGCTCGGCGGCCGAGTTCTTCATGATGTTGATGCCCGCTACCGTGTTGACGTTAGTCAGACGGCAGCCCTGCACAAGACCCTGGTAGACGGCCTTAAGGACCGTCTCGCGCACGCCCTTGTCGGAAATGACCATCAAGCGACGGGCGACCAGGAAGGCTGTTATCCTGGTGGCTTCGGTGCTGGCAGACTGCGACCAGAAGGCAACGACGGTCTTGATCAAGACCTTGAGAAGCTTTCTGAAGGAGAGGAGGTAAGGGAGGATGGGCTCGAGAGCGGAGATTGTGAGTTTGAGGGTGGGCTCGTCGGAAAGGGTGCCGAGGAGGTGGATGATGGAGGCGGCGTAGTTCTTGACGAGCTGGGACAGGATCTTGAACTTCTTGGTGTCGGTGTTGACGTAGGTCTTGCCGGAGGAAGACTCCTTGATAGGAACGTGGTGTGTGAGAACCTCGGGGATCTTGCTAAGGGCAAGAACCAAAATGTCGTTGAAGGCATTGGGGTCGTGGATGCTGTATCGTTGGGGCTTCTCGTCGTCGTCCTCGTTCAGGTGGGCGGCGCAACGGAATGCTATTACGACCTGGCGAGCAGCTCTAAGTGACTTTGTTTCTTCGATCTGGGCCCTCCACTTGGCAATCATCTTCTGGGTGAGTTCCGAGCCGTTGTCGTCGGCGGCGGCAGCCTTGGTGTCCTTCTTTTGCTTCTTCTTCTTGGGCTCCTCGCCCTCCTCGGCTTCGCTCCCGCTGAGCTCGTCGATCTCGGAAAATTCAGCGTTTTCGTCGAACTCGAGGGCCTCTGGGTCGTTCTCCTTCAAGAACTTGTAGAATTCGGGATCCTTCTCGGCGAGCGAGGCCATGGCCTCCTTGGTCATGCCGGTAGGGGCGCTGGCGTCTACCATCTCGTCATCCTCTTCTTCTTCGTCGTCGCTAACCTCGTCGTGGGAAATATCGTCGTCGTCGGAAAAGTCAACATCGCTGCCCTCGTCCTGTGATTGCTCTTCCTCCTCCTCGGCGCCGGACTCTTCAGCGTCGTCGTCGCGTTTCCTCTTGCCCAGCTTGCCGGAGGCATCCTTAGTCTTCTTGTCGAGAATCTCGAAGCCGCCCTGGAAGAAGTCGTCGACGGTCATTTCGCCGGCGGCGGCGGTACCGAGGTTCTTCTTGACACGGACAGGCTGCTTGCCGCCATCGGGGCCCTTGATGAAGGCGTCATCCTGGTGCTTCTTGGCCTGCTTCTTCTGCTTGATCTGTTCTTTTTGCTTGATCTTCTGGACCACCTTTCTGCGTTCCAAAACACCCTTCAGGTGCTTCTTTTCAAACTTTTTCGTTTGTTTGACGTTTTTGACCATGGTGGGCGACTGGCTGGGTGGTGTGATGAGTCCAGTCTGTGGTCGGATGGATGTTGATGGTTTTTTTTTTATTAGTGAAGAGGACCAGGGAAATGGACGTGGAAATGGAAGCCAATTCAATTCAGCAACCAAACTGACCCGTGCTTCTCTTGCTCTTGCCGTCGCGGTCCTCCCAAACTTTTTTCTCCTCCTAGATTCCGGGGTTCTTATCGGCTGCTCTTATCGGTGGAGGCGCTAGTCCTGTCTGGGTCTTAGGGGTGTACCTGGCGGGGCGCTCCTGTCACTGTGCGGATCCACTCTTGACCGACGGCATGCAGCTTCCAGGCTGTTTTGGAACGTCCTCGCAGCTCTCCATCCACTGGAGCTTCAGTGCATTCGCCGGCAAGGTACTCGTCATCTTCAATGGAAATTGATCTCACGATGGAGAGCCAACAAGCCCAACGAGTACACTTCACAACCTCAAACCTCCAAGATGATATCCCGCCAGCCATACGCGCCTACACCTCATAGTTATGTTCCTAACACTGCACTCTCGGCTACAATAAACCTGGACGAGGTAAACAAAGCCCCATCTCGGTACCGTGCCATGCCATGGTCTTGTTAACTGACAACATGATGCCATTCCCACTTGAAATAGGAAGTGAAGCTCGCCGATACCCGCGCTGAGCGTGACCTCCAGGACTCATTAGCCGAAATCTTCAGTATCATTGTAACTTTGGATGAACTGGAAAAAGCATTTCTCAAAGATGCCATCCCGGAGGCCGATTATACTGAGATCTGTGAGAGATCGCTGAAGCAGTACAAGTCGCTTGTTGCCGATGAGACGGTGGCCAAGGCATTCGTTGGCTTGGAGGAGTTCAAGGCCAAGTGGGATGTATGTTCATCATCATCATCATCAGAGTCACTTTACCTTCTTATGAGTTTGACTTACTCATACACCTTTCCAAATTAGCTCGAAGTTCCCCGCGCAACGGAACGCATCCGCGTCGGCATGCCCTCAACAGCCGTCAACGCCTCCTCCGGTCCAGCACCCGCAGCCGTTGCCGCTTCTGGAGGCACAAGCGGCACTCTCATTCTTGAAGCCACGCAGGACTTCATCACTTTTCTCGATGCCTTGCGTCTGGGTCTGTTGGCCAAGGATCAGCTGCACCCTCTCCTAACAGACGTGATCCAGTCGGTGAACAAGGTGACGGACCGGGACTTTGACAACAGGGGCAAGATCGTGCAGTGGCTGATCACCCTCAACCAGATGAAGGCGACGGAGGAGCTGAGCGAGGAGCAAGCGAGAGAGTTGGAGCTGGATATCAACTCGGCGTATCAGGGCTTCAAGAGCACTCTTACGTAGTCTCTGTCTGTATTGTAGGGTGTCTTTGCAGAGCAGTGGACAAACTACTTACTGCCTACACCAAGAACGTCCAAAAGCTAGGATAAACAAACTCCTCCTCAAAGATCCTCCTCACCTGCTCCAACACGAACCTCTCCACCTTACCCACGTTCTTCAAGCTCTGCTTGCCACTTTCCCTCTGACCAATCTCGCTCTCCACGCGAATCTCCTGCAACAGTCCGCCCATCTTCGTCTTGGCCCCATCGCTGCCTCCTGCTCCTATCCCAGAACTACTATTTCCAGCAGCTTTATTCTCCTCCCCCCCCACAGCAGCCACCGCATCCTCCGGGCTCAAAAAGCAAAAATGCACTCTCTTCCTAATATTAGCCACCACGCCCACGCCATCAAACGTCAAGCCCGTGATGCTCAACCGCACGGGGATCCCCACGAAGCTGGGCATGGGGTAATCGAGCAATATGTCGGCTGTGAGCAAGAGCTTGACGTCGCCGGCGTATTTGATGCGGAAGACGGCTTGGATGTCTTCGACGCGCGGTTCGCGGAAGCGTTGACCTTGGTCTTCTTCGTCTTCTTCTTCTTCTTGGTCGTCTTCGTCTTGCTGGTTTTCGTCTAGTTCGAGTTGTTGTTGGACAGGATCTCTATCGTGTTGGTGCAAGCTACCGTCCAAAAACCCATCGTCGTCATCTAGAATCGCCGAGTTTGCACGGTTATTCGTCGTAGGTCCGGCAGAGTTAGGCGCCAGAGTGGAAACACTATGCTTTTCTCGCAATCCTTGTTTGGGGATCTGTAGTCCTGGTCCCCTTCCAATGCCTAGTCCCACTCCCGAAGGTGACGGCGAAGCAGCAGCAGTATACGGTGGCGAAAAGAACCCTCTTTGCTCTCCTCCTCCTCTTTCCGCCGGCGCAACAGGGCTATAATCCCCCACCGAGTTCGAGCTCTGACTGGAAGGATTCCTTTTATGTCTTGGCCCTGCAGGAATGGCTAGCACGGGAGCACCAGGCATCGTCGGCGGATATCCCATGTTCATGCCCATGCCCATGCCTGCCACCATTCCCGGAATTCCGCGCCCGATGCCGCCCACGCCGCCGGCCGTTCCCAAGGTGCCTAGCGGTGTGCTGGTGCCGCCGGTGAGGGGACTGGGTCCGTGGCCCGGGACGGCTCCGGCTTTTCCGGGGAAGTGGTTGTGAAGATTTCGGAGGTTGGGCGTGGAGGAGCTGTGCAGGCCTTGGTTGGCTGCTGCTGTTCCTGGTCCTCCTACTCCTCCTGCGAATCCCCCTGGCCCTCCACCAGGGAAAATGCTATTTGTTGCTGTTGCTGTTGTTGCTGGTCGGTTATCCACGAAGGACCACGTTGGTGAGCGGCGCCTGCTACGGCAGCTAAAGGCGTCTGAGTGCCCGAAAGACCGGCGGTGAATTGCGAGGTGAAGTAGTGTAGGTTGAGGTTAGAGGTGCCGCCGGGGATTCCTGGAGTGGAAACGCCGAGGAAGGGAGAGCCTAGGTCGGCGTGGTGGTGGTTGGTGCCGTGGGCGGGACCGACCTGTCCTCCACCGAAACCACCTGTTGTGTTGGCCTCCCGGTAATATCTGCCATCTCTACCATCTCTGATATTGTCTCGGTCCAGGCTTTGGGAACTGCTGTTGTTGCCGCTGCCGGGGTAGCCACCATGTGGGTTCAGGTGCGGTGGGAGGTAAGCTACTCTGCCTGAATTCGGACCACTTCCATTTCTGTTGCTTCCGGTGCTGCTGTTGACTGTGAGTCTTCGTCGGGATTCGGATGCTGAGGCGCCTCTTAGCCTGCCGTACTGCTGCTGCTGCTCGACTGGGTCATCGAGGTAGTCGCCTTCATTCTCGTAGGCGATGTCGTCTTCTGGGTCTGATTCCTCTGATGAGTCCACGCCGGGTTGCTCTTCGTAAAAGTCTGGAAGGGGGTCGGTGATGTCCTTGAGCTCGATCTCGGGTGGGATGGAGCCAAACTCAAAGTCGTGGACGGTGACGGACTTGATGAAGCGCGGCAGAGGGACGTCCTGGAACTTGTTGTGGATAAAATCGCGGATTTTGTGGGCGAGCTCTTGGCCGTCGGGGCCGCCGGTGACGGTTTCCCAGTTGAGGTCGATTGACATTAGGGAGTGAGGTGAGAAGGGTTGTGGTTGTGGTGGGCAGCAAACTGTCTTTGAAGACAACTTGAAGTGAGGTTTCGAGGTTGATGTTGAATGTCAAGATTGAAAGTGTGAGACATCGAGCTGTTTAAGCACTGTATGGAGATTCCGTCCCGTCTATACGATAGGTATGTAACGGTTCCTTGTAGCTATAGTAAGCTGCATGCTACGGGAAGGTAACTGAGTGCAAACACCGGATGAGAGGTTGGAGAAACTCACCATTGTTTTCACAATCCTACTTGGATGTTGTGGTGCAATCCGAATTGATTACCGGTATCTTAAGAAATCTACTCTTTAATCTCAAATTTGAAGGCACGATGAGTTGTGGTAGTAAATGCTTGGAAGTATGGGAGAGATACTTGGGCAGGACACCGTTTGCGACATGGGCGCATACTGTATGAAGAATGCATTGAGATCAGAAATTGGAAAGCACACTTCTCAACTCAATTGTTTCACATTGACAGCATCACATATCAGACACCTTGAACAGTTGACTCACAAGGTGATATTGAAATCCAATATGACAAGACATATCAGATCACTCCATTATTCGCCAACGGAGGGGTGAAAAGAGGCGAGAATAACCCTAACCCGAGCTGTTTCGGTACGTACCTTTCCCACCAGGCATGACGGCAGTGGATGCACCGCAGTCCAAAAAGCGGGTCGTATCCCAGGGCAACCAAGGAGCGTGACGCTTGATCAACAAAGGGTGCCACTTTTGCATTTTCCCTTTCCCCCAATTGTTGACTTTTGACTTCGACCCTCCATCAATTGCGTCCAGAAAATCGGGTGTGCAAATAGCCTAGGACTCCGACCGCGATCGCGCACACACCCACCCTCCACCACCTCTTCTGTCAAGTGCTTCTCTGTTTACCACTTCCCTTATTCACGCCACTTCGCGAGTTGGTTCTTTTACTTATTGTCGTTTACTTCTGTTGCATCGAGTTCTTCGCTTTGCCCCCAACGACCCGTGGATCAACAAGACCTACCTTACCGCCAGCAACAAACACCCCGCCGCGCAAAACGTAAACACAACACAACCACCCTTCATGGTTCGCCCTTGATCTTTGCCAAAGAAGGATCTCGTCGCCAAAGTCTTCAACACCACCACCACATCACATCACATCGCCGGTCATGGCGGGTGACTCGAAATCCCATTCACAACAACCACAACAGCGCATGACGAGAGCGCGAGTGGCCTCGTCTGCCGTCACAAAAAATGCCAGAGCCATGACCGCCGCTGCCAAAGCCAGGAGCGTGACCTCTAGCACCAGCACCAACACCACCACATCCGCGACATCTGCCACGACTGCCCCTGGCGCATCCAGAGCCACCGCGCCCACTGCTGCTACAAGCCTCAAGAGAAAGGCCCGAACCGACGATGATGAAGACGACGACCATCACGCAAAGCACCGTCCTGCTCCAGCCTCAGTTACGCGACCCGTACGTCTACCAGCCGCCGCTCTCGCAACCACCCGCGCCACCCGGGCTCGAGCACGGAATCCAGCCAACGAAGCTGCAAAGACATCAAGACCTGCCTCTTCAGCATCAGTTAAACCCGCATCCTCCCTTGCATCAAGACCAGCGTCATCAGCGTCTAGCAGACCGCCAGTAACGGCCCCGCGCGGTAGGCCGCCGACCAAAGCTCAAGAACCTGCCTCCAAGGCCACTCGCGCGACGCGTTCAGCCAAGCCCGACGACCAATCTTCCTCAACAGCCACTTCCAGAAATACCAGCACAACCAGGACGCGACCGACCGGCTCGACGGCGACCGCGCCCACCGCTGCATCCAAAGCCCTCGCAAAGCCCGCCGTAAAGAAGACGGTCAAGTTCGAGGAGCCGGAAAAAGAAAACATTGGGCCTCCGGGAGGAAAGAGGAAGAAGGCAGGACCAATTGTCAATGCCGGGGGTCTTCGCGCGAAACCAGTCAGGACTCGGACCGGTGCGACAGCCAAGGGATCAACATCAACCGCCAGGAGAGATGCTGCTGCCAATGGCACGACAAACAAGCCAGTGTCTCGTACTGGCCGGCCAGCTACACCCAACGATGCTCCCGAAAACACCAAGGTCGAAGGCATGAAACACAAGCCTCTTCCCCTCAGCCCTAAGAAAGTTAACCAACTAGTGGCAGCCGCCAAACACGGTGACGACTCGGAGGACGAACTTGCTATTCATGAGAACAGTCCGGCCTTGTTGCAGCCATTACTGACAGGCAGAGCTCCCATCAAACCGCCGGCGCCGAAGACCAGCAAGAAGGCACAGGAGAAACAACCCGAACAGGACCAGCCACAGGAACCCGAAGCTGCGCCCGTGTCTACTTCCACCGCGAATTCCGAACCCGAAGAGCAAAACAAGGATGCCTCCGCCGAACCTTCAGTCTTGAAGCCCCACTTCCTTCCGGCCGAACACCTCTCGATGCTCGCTTCTCCCGCTCGCCGTCCTCCACCATCTCCCTGGAAGAACAGTATCAAGACCCCGGCCAAGCGCGTCGAGGGTCTCTTTGCTGGCGTCCCTCTACTCGCCAACCGACCGGATGGGCAATCCGTTGCACAACCCGCCAAGAACGTTCCCGGCCTTCTTGCCAGTCCAGCCAAGAGGCCACCCGGAAATGCGACTGTGTTGATGGGTGGAGAAATTCTTGCTGGTGCCGCCACCACCTCCACGAATACCGGAATAATGGGTCCGCCCTCCCTCTTTGCCAGCCCGGCCAAGAGGATGCCAATGTCCGCTGTAAAGGCACAGCCCATTGTGGAGGAAGTTGCTGCTGAAACAAAGCATTCTTTGCTCGCCAGCCCACCTGTCAAGTTCGGCACTGCTAGACGCAAGTCGCAACGTCTGGAGGAGATGGCACGGGAGCAGGAACCCAAAGAGGAGGAAATTGAGCATAAGGAGGAGGAACAAGACAACCATGCGCAAGAGGATGAGGAGATGGAGAACGAACAGCAGGTTCACGAGCAGGAACCTGAACAGGAAGACGAAGAGATGGATTCCACGGACGAGGAGGACAACGACGGTCCTTCTGGTGAGCTTGGCGAGCGTACGATGCAGATTCTCACTTCCTCAGCAAAACCTGCTAGGCTACTGTTTACTGGTCGTCGACGATCTCTAAGGCATATGGAAAAGGAAGCCGAACCTACTGTTCAGGAAGAGCCAGAACCTCAACTTGAGGAGGAGCATGACCAGGAGGAGGAGCATGAGGAGGTGGAAAAGGATGCTGAAGACGAGGTGGAGGAGGAAGAGCACGAGGTTGAGCACGAGGTCGAGCACGAGGTTGAGCAGGAGGAGCAGGAGTATGAGCAGGAGGAGCAGGAGTATGAGCAGGAGGAGCCTGAGGTTGATCCCCAGGAGCCCGAGCTTGACCAGGAGGAGGCCGAAGAGGAACATGGGGAGGAACACGAGGTTGACGAAGATCAAGACCATGAGATGACAGACAGGGATGAGGAGCAGGCTATCGAGCCCGAGATCATCGAACCAGAAACCGACGAGGACTCGATGGAGGTCGATGAGGTCGAGCTGGACAACGAAAGTGTCGAGCAAATCGTCATTCCCGAGACCCCGCAGCCTGAGAATGATGACCAGAGCTATTTGGACATCGACCTGAGCATCAGCACCACCCCTCCCGAGTCACCACCTCAACATCTGCTCAATGGCCCTTCGTTCGGTAATCTTCGCCAGGATGTCCTCAACCCTTCTGAGGACACGGAGGACGCAACCCCTACCCAACCCACAAGAGGCAGCAAGGCCAACCCTCATCCTGCTGCTACACCTTCTGTCAACACCGGCCACCGGACTCCTTCTGGTCGAAGCACAACTAAGAGAATGCGCTTTGACAACGGCAACTCCGGCCTTGGCTTCACGCCCCTGGCAAACCAGTTGAGCGGATGGAAGGGAGGTGTTACACCGGCACCCCCCAAGGTTAACCTGCTCAAGTCTACGGCTACCCCAGCTAAGGCTACTCCTTTCGATAACTCCAGCCTTGGATTCACCCCCCTAGCTGAGAAGCTGAGCAGTTGGCATGGCGGAGTTACTCCTGCGCCTCCGAAGGCCCAAGCATCTGCAAAGACTCCGGCACTCACCAAGAACGAGACAGCCCCCAGCCTTGGATTCACGCCGCTGGCCAATCAAATTAGTGGCTGGAATGGCGGTGTTACTCCCGCTAAGCATAACGCCGCGGCTTCTTTGGAAGGCAGGTTTAATCGAAGGAGAAGCTCCAGGAGGCTGCAGCAGGTGGACGAGCAGGAGGAGATGCTCTTTGACGTGGCTGCGATGAAAGAGGCAGGCATCTTTGGAACTTCGGTTGCACGCCAACCGAAACAGCAGAAGTCCAAGGAATCTTCGCCTGAGAAAACTACTGAGGAGACCCCTAAGGCTGATGCGAAGACTTCGGCTGAAGTTGAGGCTAGTGTTCAGCAGCAACAGGAGGATGAGAACATGGAAGTGGTGCAGCAACAAGAGACTGTCCAAATGGAGCGACACGAGGAAGTTCAAGCGGAGGTTGACTCTGCTGATGTGAACAATGTACCCGTTGACGAGGGTGCCCATGAGGCTGCCGAGGTTGTCGAGGGCGAAGAGGAGCAAGAGGAAGGGGACTCCGTCGAGACGGTCATGGCCGATGCCGATCAAGCAGAGGTCGACCCTGATGCCATGATTGACGATGATGATGCATCCCCAATCCTCGAGGACATCCCTATCACCACTGAAGATGTTGAGCTCGCGGCCGAGGCCGAGGCGTTAGCTCGCATTTCTGATGTCATGGACACAACCGATGGCGCCGATAAGGATGGAAGCCAGCACAGCGTCTCTGATAACCTTTCGGAAGCGAGCCAGGAATATGGCGACGAGAATGCCATTCCGATCATGGCCGAGTTCACTACCCGCCCGCTGAATGTCAACCTCTTTACGCCGGCTGACACCACAAACCGTGTCACCAGACGAGCTTCCGCTGCTCTTGCTCACCCGACCACCCCGGTTCGCCCGCAGGCTGCTGTGAGGGAGGTGCACACAGTCTCCAAGGTTCCTCTCAAGTCAGGCGATGGATTTACCGCTCCGCCACCGCGTTCTCTCAGACCTAGAAAGTCGGGAAGAAGCAGTCTCTCGAGGGTATCCTTTGTGGACACTACTGATGTGATCATTGAAGAGCGTCAGGAGGAGATGGAGACTGTGCAAGAGGAGGCCGAGGAGGACCATGAGCAGGAGCAGGAGAATGAGCCCGTTGAGGCCCACATCCACCGGACTCCCATGAAGGCGACTCCAGTCAAGCAAACTCCCACCCAACATACTACTCCCTTCAAGACACCCTTGAAGCAGACCCCACCTCAAGTCGTCGCTGAACAGAACAACGCTCCTGTACCGTCGCCGCCCAAAGGTCACGAGATCACTACGGATGAAGCCGGCCGCCAGAGACGCCGTAGTCGTCGCATCTCTAGCATGGGTGCGGGAGCATCACTGGCCGAGATCCCAGAAGACGAAGCCGAGTTTGGGTCCCCGATTGCCGAGGAACGGGAGCCAGAGGATGAAGAAGATGACTTTGTCCCCTCCGAGCCGGTCACGCCCGCTAAGTCCGAGGTCGAGTGGTCGGCTATGGACACGCCTGCTCGTACTCCCACAAGGACCTCAACCCCAAGCTGCTGAGGGGAGCGGTCGTGTACTGCGATGTGCATACCGCTGAGGGTGCCGATGCCAGTGGGCTCTTCATTGAACTTCTGAGCCAGATGGGCGCGCGTTGCGTGAAGAACTGGACGTGGAATCCCAATGCTGGTGCTTCGGGTGATGAGCCGGTATCTGGATCGGGACACAAGATTGGTATCACGCATGTGGTGTTTAAGGACGGTAGCAAGAGGACTTTGGAGAAGGTCAAGGAGAGTCAAGGTGTTGTGCAGTGCGTGGGTGTCAGCTGGGTTCTTGAGTGAGTATTCCATCCCCGGTAAACTGATAAAACACTATGCTAACGAATTACAGTTGCGAACGTGAAAACAAGTGGCTAGATGAAGCCGATTACCTCATCGACCTCACTTTCATCCCCCGCGGCGGCGCCCGTAGGAGAAAGAGCATGGAGCCCAAGGCGCTCGCCAATCTCAACGGCACCCTTGTTCCCTCCGGCTCCGGCTCCAGCACTACCACCGTCACCAACAGCACAACCAAGATAACCACGACCACAACAACGACTACCACCAACTCATTCTCATCCTCGACCACTACCCGCCCGTCTCAACAACCCACGACCCCCGGTAACACCACGTCCACCGGCCGCAGCAAACGCCGCTCTTCTTCTCTCTGGGTCCGCACCCCTCCCTCCCCCGACGCCTCTTCTTCATCGCCCAATGGTGGTGACAACCGTCGCGTAAGCGACTCCATCCTGGCCATGTCAACCTCAATCAACACACAACCTCACCAAACCCAGGCAGGGGAAGAAGAGGAAGAAGAAGAAAGGGAATGGACGACCCTCTCACCAATCCCTAAGACTCCCGCGCCCGAGCACGTCGCCCGCTTAGCAGCCAACCTATCCCCGGCCTCTTCCACCGTCACCGATTTTGCTGACCTTAACAACATGGGTGTCGATGGTATGGACGACGGTGGTGGTTTCCTAATCCCCGCTGACGAAGCAGGGCATATCGAAACTGATTTCCTGAGGGACGCCATGCCTGAGCACCATGGTCACACTCACGGCCATGGTCACAATTCTACCAGCCTCGCAGAAAGAGGAGCAATGACTTGTCCGCCAAAACCTAGTTTGAGCTATGCTGTTCCTTCTGTTCCTGCCCCTCCCCAATCTCGTGGAAGGAGCTTGTTCTCAATGTCAGTCGGATCAGCTGGATTACCAAGTGTTGATGAGATGGACATCCACACCACAACCACCAACAACCACAACGGCGAGGGATCATCAAATAGTATGTCCGGCCCTCCGGCTATGGTAAGCAGCACAATGGCAGGAACATACGGTCTCCTTCGCGATAACCGCGAAAGAAACCTGGGAGTCATGATGCGGTTGAATGCGGCTAGAAGGAAAAGTCTGCAGTTTGCGCCAAAGGTGGGGAGTCCGCTTGCTAGGAGTTGGACTGGAAGGAATGGTAACAATAACAACAATAACGGTGGTAGAGGGGCCGGTGTAGGAGGAGGTGGTGGTGGAGGTGTAGGTGGAGGTACGACGGGCGCAGGTACAGCGCAGTAAGGATAAGGATAAGGAGGTTCGGATTCTCTGTTTGTCTATGGCTGTTGGAGTAAAGAGAGGTTAAGGTTTGAGGTTTATTATTAAGGGTATACCATCCATTGCTTTTCTTGTTTGGGAGGAAAGGGTCTTGGTTCGGTTGGTCGTATGTCTTTAGTGTAGGAATCATGGTGTTAAGAGATAGTATTTACAGTCTGTGGCTTTATACCTATGAGGTTTTTCTCGATGGTTTCGTATGCGTTTGCGTTCTTGTTGCGGTGCTGTTGTGGTTATGTGATAGTGATGTTGCTTTTGTTCGAAGATTTGGATCAATCGTTTTCTGACTGTCATGAAGAGAGGATGAGATACGTCGGCTAGCAAAGCATGATCGCGGGTTGTGAACAGAGTTGTGAATCAAGCAAGTATAGTATCAACTTTTCTTCATTGAGTTGAGCGGCGAATGGTATATATCTTCAGACCCACTACACTGTCCTTAAATGTTATATCCCTTGGCCACCGAGCTATTTACGATGATGATAATGCTATATATGCCTGGCTTCAAAACCCCAGATCCAGCCACGGTATTACCCCTTAAGAGACGAATTCTTGTTCCCACGTTTGGTATCCTCTGCCTCTAAAACTTTCATCTCATCATCATCCCCACAAACGCATTACACAACTACCTCCCCTCCCCCAACCTCATAAACCCCTCCAAAACATCCTTATCAACATTAACCGCCCACTCCGCCTCAAATCTTTGCTCTCCACCCATCCTCTGCACCAACCCCCGCTAACCTCTCCCTAGCAAACTCGTACGCCTCGACTCTATGCACCGGATCCTTCAACGCAAACTGCCTCTCCGTCACATCCAGCGGTGTATCCCACTCGTAACTGGGTAAGCTGTTGGGGTCCCAGACGAGGTAATCCTTCGCATTAGTCGTCCCTGATGGTTGTGATGTGTCCCTGCCGCCAGAAGCAGAGTTTATCGATTGTCGGAAATCTTGCCCCTGCTGCTCTGTTACTAAAGACTGATCGTCATCGCTCGCTGCAAGCTCGGTTATCACGCTTGTCCACATGGCTAGGAAATCTTGCAGTCTGGCAAGCACGATCTTCTCCTGGACCATGGGATCGGGAAGTTCCCAGAGACGGGTAAGTGCTAGAAGGGAAAGTTTTTGTCGCTCGACTTCAGCCATGCAGTCGAAATTATTGAACCACAGCGTGCCGAGCCACTCCCACACCTGCTCGACGGTGGAGCCGGCAGTCGAGGCGATGCCGGCTAGCATGGTCAGGAAGACCGTGGGGTCGCCGAGCGCGATGCGCGCCAAAAGCATGAAATAGTCCGTCTGCTTGATGGTGTTGATCTGGCTGACTTTCTTATTGGGGCCGTGCGTGGTGCTGGCCTCCCAGGCGCTGTGCAGACCCTCGAAGATGGTGTTGAGCAGGCCAATCTCGAGCATGTCTTGCACGACCACTTGTAGCCCCTGAACGCCGCCGATGTCCTCGGCGATCTGAAGGACCAGCTCAATGGACCTTGCACCGGTCTGAGATTGTTCGCGGGAACGGGCGTCGAGGGTCTTGACGAGGGCTGCAAGGGTCGGGCGACGGAGACGGTCGTCGAGGATCTCTCTAGGTGCGAGGAGGATGTAGTTCTTTACAACCTCGAGGCACTGGTTGGCTACTTCTGAATCGTATTCGAGGAGGGGCAGAGCTAGCTCAACCATTCGTACGAGATCGGGATGGAGGGGAGGATAACTTTGTGTGGTGACGGACTTCCACAGAGCTACCGATTCTTCGATTAGGTGGAGGTGAAGAGCGGACTCGGGCTCCATCGCCTCACGCAGCAGGGGGATAATCGCCGGTTGGTAGCGTTGAGAGTCTCCGCGCATCGAGTCAACAAGCGCAGCCATGATGGCGAGAATAGACTGCTTGATCATGTACTCCTCCTTTTCAGCCGATTCCCACAACTTAGGTAGAGTCAGCATGATGGCGTCACCAAATTGAGAGATATGCGTCTCCATTCGTTGGACAATCGCCCTGATCGTGTCCAAAACCGTCAGCTTGGTCTCATCGCTCGCCACCTCTTGGAGGAGCGCCATAAGCTGGTTGAAGACGTCGGGCGCAAATGGCAAGAACTGCTCGCCCTGGAACCCAAAGTCGTCCACGATTCCCTTAAACTCGCGGGCAGCCGTGATGCGAACAACCTGGTCGTTGTGCGGATCATCGGGGTTCATCAAGTGCCTAAAGATCTCGTACACAGCAGGTCGACTTTCCTCAGCAATCCGGATGGAGATCCATTGGTTAAGAAGGATGGCTATCCGCCTGCGGAGCAGCTTGGACATGGAGTCCTGGATCTGTACGTCCTTGACCAGCGTAGTCTTCAAGAAACGATCAAAGTCGAAGGCCTCGTGAATAACGGCGGCCGCACATCCAAGAGCGCAGTAAGCCGCCTCCTTGGTGACAATGTCCATATCGACCTTGGTCGCAAACTCGCAATATGTGAGAAGTGGTTGCCCAAGCTCCTTGTAGTGTGTAAGGAGGTCAATGAGCAGCCTCTCAGCACAAGGCCGAACAGCCCATTCGTATGCCTGTCCTTCGTTGCGCTCCGCAGCCTCCCACTCTTCTGGGTCTTCTTCCCACGCCTCAAGATCAGACTGCCGGAAAATAAACAGCCTGCTGATGGTCACTTGGACAATGTCCAAGAGGAAGTTATGTGTCAGTAGCTGGTCCTTGACGAGTTCCGTGGCCTCCTTTTCCTGATTTTTGACCTCTGGGCTCTTGTACTTGAACGTCTGCATCGGCCTGTGAGCGATCGACACACAGCTTCTCAGTAGCAAGAGACCCTTGAGGGCTAGCTTCTCTGAGAGCGGTCCTTCGTGCTTAGCGCTGCCGTCGTGGTTCTCCGAGCCCGTTTGCCTGATGCCGCCTGACTTTTCAAACTCATTCGAGAACTGCTTGACCAGGTTCCAGTAGGCCTTCACAAGCGGAATAGAATTCGGTAGCAGGGGAAAGCTGGCTGGGTGGGAGTCGCACATGTCGATGTGCAATTTCGTGAACTGGATCAAGTGCTTGCCTACCGAGTCCTGGAAGGGGGCAGGGATGTGTGACTCGGAGCTGACGCCAGTGAGGAATTGGTCGAACTGGGATTGAGACAAGGACCAGAAGCCCTGGACCATTGGGTCGGTATGAGGATGTTCGTAGCCAACCGTGACCAGCCTGCGTAGGATTTTGAGGGCCGTCAGGCTGTTCTGCATGTAGTAGTCGGCCTCATCCTCGTCGCCGCTGCCACCCCTGGCAAAGAACTCCTGCCATGCGGCCGTCCGCTCGGTATAGATCTCACCGAGCAATTGGACGAGCTCGGGTGTGACAGCCTGAAGAGCGGTCTGGGACCTCCGCAACCGGGCTGTGGCGAGCTCTTTGACTACGCGCAGCAACACCTGCAGGGCTCCGCTGAGGGCAAGCGCACTCTCTGTTCTTACGGTCCTGGTGACATTGATGATGCTCGGGATGACGTCTGGCCAGTCGTTGGGATAGTCTATGCGGACAATCTTTGCGATGACGAGGGCGTTGTGTAGGGCAAGGTTCCTGTCTTCCTCGCCGACTGAGCCCTGCAGTAGCCTCGAGCGAATAAACTGTTTCTCGGCGGGTTGGATCGCATGTTTCGCCGTGTGTCGCCAGTACTTGTCGATGCCGTTCTTGAGCAGGATAACTGCGAGAAAGCGGACGGAGTTGTTTATGGACTTGTCAAGGAAGACGGTCTATATGGCAAAGTAACATGTTAGCATCCATGGTCCCCAATGCTGCCAACCAATGACTGATAACCCACCTGTAGAGAAACATAGTAGTCTGGGCGGGACTCCCATGACTGAAGCTGCTGGCCGGCTGACTGTCTCTGGGCGTGATCTGTAGAAAGGGCGGCATACTCTAGGGTTCGGGCAAGCTCGAGGAGGTTTAGAGGGGCTGCCTCCCCTGGCACCTCGATAGCGAAGCTCATTTTGTTGTTGTTAGTGTTGGTGTCGGCTGGGGGATGTCTCTGGCCTAGTCGAAGTCGGTTGAGGGTGGCCTGGGGTATCATATATAAGAAAGGAAAAGAAGGTCAATTGTGCAAATGTTTCAAAGTTTTTGGAAAAGCAGGTGGAATGGAGATGGAAGGAGCTTGTTAGAAAGAGCCCGTTTCTGATCTTCGAGACTCTGGAGAAGTCTGGGCTGTGACGCGCTGCAGCTGTGGAAGCGGGCCCGTCACTGGGCTGAGATGTCCCGGCGGCGGTGGAGGGCGCATTGGACAGTGGATGTGACATGGATTAGGTGGGGTTACCGCAACAACAACGGGATGGCGGGGCAAGCACATCTGTTAGTGCAAGCACATTGCTGCAGTGCGAACTTTAACACTTCTGCAACCACTTTCACCACCATGCCCCTTTCGAGACCGCTTTATCAACACAACAATAAAAGGGGCTTCCTATTCGAGCTGGTTGCAGACTAACTCGGTAACACCTTCTATACTCTCGTCTTCCCAACCTACAAGCTCGAACTGGGATCAACCTGTTCCAACAAAGCAATGCCCGTAAACGCTCCCTGGTCTTCATAGAACTTCTGTTTACCACTGCCGTCCATGTTGAACCGATAGACCGCGCCGCCACTATGTGATTGATTAGTGAGTCCTCAATTCGAGTTTCCAAAAGAGCAGGGGCGTTGACATACAGATCTGTAGCATAGATATGCCTCGTTGTTTTATCAATGGCTAGTCCAATTGCCTCGTGCAAGTTCCGCGCGAGGACCTGGTGGTTACTGAATGACCCGTCCGGGTTGAGGGTTGCCCGGTTCAGACTGTTACCATTCGGCAGCTCTCCGCGGTCTGTCCAGTACAGGGCGCTGCCATCCTCGTCCATCTCGAGGTCAATCGGCTCCGGCAGGTGTTCAAAGACTACCTCAATGTCCGGTCTGTTAGAGGCATCATATCCTTCGGGCATCTTGATGGAGGCCCGGTAAATGCGTCCTTTAGACCCTTTGGGCGGCCCCTTCTGAGTCCAGTAAAACTTTCCCTCCTTAGCCGAGACAGTAATGCCTACGCACCACGAGGTAGGATCATCAATGCCCTTCCGCCAGTCGCCAGCTCGGACGAGCGTCTGGAGATTCGACCCATCGACGCCGCAACGGAAGACTCGCATGCCCTCTCGGTCAGAAAAGTAGAGCACCTCATTGTCCTGGTCAACAGACAACTGCTTGGGGGTGTGGACAGCGCCAGGAGGGATGACGACCCGTATGCCAGTGCCATCCAGGTTGCACGACATGATGGAACCGTCGTTCTGGCCGGGAGTGCCCATGTTGGTCCAGAAGATCTTGCCAGTCTTGTGGGAGAGGGCAATTCCATCTGGCATCGGCAGGTGATCGACGATTACCCTGAGCGGAGATCTTCCGTCTGCGCTTCCGACGAGGATGCGGCCCTTTCTGTAAAACTCGACGTCATCCGGATCATTGTTCCATCCAATGTCCAAGAAGTACAAGGCCGGCGCGTGCAAATTGTCGTGACTCGTTTGTTCCTGGTTAGCTGTCTTGACGGTGTGGCCAGGAGGGTAAAGACCACCCTTGCTGCTCTTGGCTCCGAGCTTGCCCTCGTCAATGTACTTTTGCAAGAAGGGCAAAACACCTCTGTCCTGCAGGCCACGCTCTTCGATGTAGTGCTTCTCGATGAGTGAAACGGTATCTAGGCCGACCGAGTCCATCAGGGTGCAAGGCGGACTGCCGTTCTTGATAAACATTTCGGTCCAGACGGCGTCGAGTTCTTCGGGAGTGGCAACCCTTTCAGCCAACACCATGAGACACTCGCGCTTGATGGCTGCCCAGACACGATTCAGGATAAAACCAGTTGACTCCTGGTGTGCAATCACCGGCATCATGCCTGACGCTTTGAAGTGTTCCAAGAGGAAGGGGAATATCTCTTCTCGCGTAGAGCCACTCGTCATGAGCTCGACGATGCGGATGGCCGGCGGGACCATGTAGTGGGTGTTCAGCATTCGTTGGGCCGTCTCCGGCTTGACCTTGACTGTCATCTCGCGGGACTTGTAGGAGGACGAGTTGGAAGCCAGGATAGCGTCCGATCGAGTGACGCCTTCAAGCTCGGCGAACACATCGATCTTCATGTCCAATCTCTCTGGTACGCATTCGATAACAAGCCAGGAGTCCTCGACGGCGGGCTTCATGTCTTGGAAGCCATGAACGCTAATGGTGTTTGGATCAATTACGGGCTTGTATCTCCATAACTCGTTGGTGATGTACTGCAAAGCCGCATTCGTCTGTTGAGGGTCTGGGTCTCTGATGTGGACTCTGTAGCCGGCGGATGCCCAGCAGGCGCCGATTCGACGGCCCAAGACGCCGGCGCCGAGAATGCCGACCGACCTTCCCGCAGTAGATGGTAGTTTCCACGGCGTCATGATGGGATTTAACTGTCTGGGGGAAAGTGTCCGAACGTGTTGAAAGATGGGGATCTGACATGTTATTCAACGGGGAGGATAAGGCCACTTCGGCATATATTCCCAAGTAAGGTACCTGTCAAGCTGCTCTCACAGCTGCAGTCTACAATGTCCCATCGCAGGTGTCATGTTCTGGAGGTGCAATCCGGGAGCATCTCGATGCACACGTCGGCATGACGCGAGGCATCAAGCTTAACCGACCTTCATCTCACCTCGATCCTTACCGAGTCTCAATTCCCCTCGGGTTCTTGACTTGTCCGACCGCCCATTGGGTCAATATTAAGAACGGGCCTTGTGTTTCAACTCTCATAAAACAGATGATATAAGAAAATCGAATGTAGCAGCACAGCTGGTATTTAATCCAAGCCCTCACGTATATCCGAAGTTGGGATTTGGAGATTGTTTGGATGAAAAGGATGAAGTCGCAGTTCCCCTTGCGGCGCCGTGGTCCCTGTAAGCCAATAAAGTGGGTCCATCTCCACTTTCCCCGGGGCGCTTCTGCCGGCGTGTCGTTCAGGGGCCCGGGTTGCTGTCGGACGGGGCTGGCTGGCTGGGCTGAAGTTCAGCTGAAAAAGGACGCCGTCAAATGCCAATTGACCGACGACACCATTGACCATGATGGTTTGTCGCCTGTTTACAGCCGCAATTGCCTCCTTTTGGCGGACTGTTGACGGTCTGTTAGTGGCTAATTACCTAAATGCCCTCTGTTTGTCACTTACCTTAGGTACCTAATTGTCACTTTCTGTCGGGCCTTCCATTTGTTGGGCTGGAACAGACGAGCAGACTGCCCTGAATGAACGGCAACCGCCGCCCGTGCCAACCTCGGCTCCCCCGTCGGGTCGGTTCTTGGCTCCTCCTGAGATCAACACTAGACTCCATCGGCCTCCCGACACCACACTCCACGCACCACTGACCACACCCATGATCATCGACTTCTAGTTCATCCCCTGGCCCTCTTCTTGTTTCTCTGTTCTTTTTTTTTGTTTGTTTCTTGTTCAACCAAACGATGTGATACGACCTCTGTCCCGATAAACGAATGATACCCGCCCCCTCCCAATTGCGTTTCACCAGCTTTAATACACCCACCAGTCTCGACGGCACCCTCGAACCCGAATCCCTCCTATAATCCGATCCGATGAGTGACCCCAAGTCACCCGCGACAGGGCCTCCGCCTTCCGCTCCTGCTTCCGCGCCCGCTCCTGCTCCTGCGCCTGCGCCTGCTCCGGCTA